GAGAAGTCAATTTTGCCTAAATTTGAGTTTTTCAACTCTTTCGGGAGATCACAGATGCTGACTTGTGAGTGTTTGCTCTTCAAATCCAACTATTTTGGATCGCAGTTTGGAGAACCAACTGATTCCTAACTATAAATTCCTCAAAAGTGTGCTCCTATCTGATGCCAAAATTATTAAAATCTTTAGCAACAAATCATGGCTCTTTGAGTATGTTTGGCAAAGACTGTGTCTCCGAAACTTGCAGTCCTGCGAGAACTTGTATGCCTGACATTCTGTTGCATTGATTTTAACTGTTATTCCCTATAGTGCTCCAAAAACGTGAGAAGTTTGACAAAAATGTCAAGAAGCTATTGAAATGGGTTTTGATCCTCAGAAAAGTGGGTTCATCTATGCGATGCAGGCGTTTGTTGCAATGAGTCAATCAACTTGAGGCATAAATTGGATGTTTTCAGGGGGTGGGGATGGTCTGATGAGGACATTATGTTGTGTTCAGAAAATGCCCCAATTGTATGAATGCCTCTGAACGCAAAATAATGAATGCAATGGATTTTCTTAAAAAAAACCGAGTTTTTTCCATGCTTAAACAGTAAGAACGACAACATCTCATGCTTACCCAAACCTCTAATCCTGATCTCATGGCCATGATGGCTAAGACCAACCCCCATTTTCCCAAACCTGCCCATAAATTTTATAACTCTATAGCCTAGAAATCAAGTCGTCCATATTACACTCATTGCAAAATCCAAGGTCACTTTCTTGAGAATTGCTTCAAAGCAGGAAATGCAACCCCGCCTTTGTGTACCCATTGCAATATGACTGGCCATTCTGTTGAAAAATGTTACAAATTAAATGGGTACCCCCCTGGCCATAAGCTTCATGGCAAGAATAAAAACTTTGCTGCTGTTGCCATTGCTCCTTCTCGAGCATGCTCTACTGATGGTCATGATGAAGAGTCCTCTGAGACTATGGCTCTTACCAAGGGTCAATATAATCAACTCCTGGCTTTATTGCACTTTAAGGACACCAGTTTAGCCATGGCCACCATGTCTGTTACTTCGCCTTCCTCATCCTGTAAGCATGTCCCCAGCTCTAACGTCTCTGGTATGGTTTCTTGTTTATCAACTCAAACACACACCACTCCTTGGATAATAGACACTAGAGCAACAAATCACATGATCTATTGTCCCTCTCTCTATTCATCCATCACGGCCACTATATCTTCTTTAGTTAAATTACCTAAGGGTGCAGATGTCCCTGTTTCTCACATTGGTGTTGTACACTTATCCGAGAATTTAGTCCTTCAAAATGTGCTTTGTGTCCCTTCTTTCAATTTCAATTTAATTTCTACTAAAAAGCTTGCTCTGCATTCTTCTTGTTGCCTTATTTTCTTTTCTCATTCATGTTTTGTACAGGACTTAGCATCTTGGACAACGATTGGGATGGGTGAAGTGAGGCATGGTTTGTATCACCTACTGCATTTTGGCGTGTTACCTTCAGCTTTAGTTGATGTTTTACCAGCTTTCTTTATAAAGACCAGCTTCTTAATGCCTCTGTTACACACAAAGATTCCTCTTCTGATTTGTGGCATCGTAGACTTGGGCACATTTCATTCTCTAGGCTTCTTTTAACTGATGATTGTCAAATAGAACCTGAGTTCTTCTAATACATCTCCTTGTTGTGTTTGCCCTTTGGCCAAGCAACATCGACTTTCTTTTCCTATTTCCACAAATAAATCTATTAACGCTTTTGATCTTGTTCACTGTGACATTTAGGGCCCAACCCCACAATTGCAATTGATAGTTCTCGATTTTTCCTTACTCTTGTTGATGATTTCTCAAGGACCATTTGGGTCTATCTGCTCAAACATAAATCTGATGTGAGATCTTGTATTGAAAGTTTTTACTCCTTAATTGAAACTCAATTTCAGACGAGAATTAAAATGTTTAGAAGTGATAATGGCAAGGAATTCCTTATGATAGATTTTTTTAAGTCTAAGGGTATTATCCACCAAACTAGTTGTGTTGAAACACCCCAACAAAATGGGATAGTTGAGTGCAAACACCAACACATCATGAATGTGGCTCAGGCCTTAAGATTCTGGTCCAATATTCCCCTTAAATATTGGAGTGATTGCATCCTAACTACTGTTTACATTATAAATAGAACACCTACACCATTACTTCATAATAAAACTCCTTTTGAAAGTCTTTTTCATAAGCCACCCGTTTATAATCATATGAGAGTTTTCGGCTGTCTTACTTTTGCTTCAACCTTATCCCATGGACGAAAGAAGTTTGATCCGAGAGATAGGAAAAGTGTATTTATGGGCTACCCTTTTGCCGTGAAAGGCTACAAATTATTAGATTTACAAACTGAACAAATTTTCATTTCTCGGGATGTTGTGTTTCATGAAACAATTTTTCCATTCAATACAAGCATCTCACTTCCTGCTCTATCTCTTATTCCTTCTATTCCTCTCATCACACCCACACCTTTTAATTTTTGTCCACCGCACTCAGCTTTACCCCCTTCTGCTTCTTTGCCTTCCAGTACATTACAATCTCCTTCACCACCTAATTTTCCTCCTGAGATAACTCAACCTATCTCTCCCTCTCATTCTCCAATTTCCTCACCATCCTACCAATCTTCCATTCCTACCCCACCACCACCCTTTCCTCCTCTCCCTTGCAAATCCACCAGAACTAAGTGTGCACCCAAATTTCTGCAGGATTATCATTGTCAACAAAAGGCTCTCACTTCTTCCATCCAGTTGTTGCCTCAGCAGCTACGTCCTATACAAGGTATTCCTTTCTCACTTGCTAATTGCTTATCTTATCATGTTTTTTCTCCTTCTTACCAAGCTTTCTCCACTACCCTTGCCACCCATTTTGAACCACAAACATACCGCTAAGCTCTCAAACATCCAGGCTGGTGTCAAGCCATGGATAATGAACTAGTTGCCTTAGAAGCTAACAACACTTGGCAACTTACAGATTTACCTCTAGGAAAAGTGTCCATCGATTGTAAATATGTTTACAAAATCAAGTACCATTCCAATGGGTCTGTTGAGAGGTTGAAGGCCCGCTTGGTAGCCAAGACCTACACACAACTTGAAGGGGTGGATTATCATGAAACGTTCTCTCATGTTGCCAAGTTGGTAACTGTGAGATGCCTCTTAGCAATTGCTTCTGTTAAGGGTTAGCATTTACATCAATTTGATGTAAATAATGCCTTTTTACATGGGGATTTACACGAGGATATTTACATGAAGAAACCTCCTGGTTATACCAAAGGGACACCCACTCAAGTCTGCAAACTATTAAAGAGTGTATATGCCCTCAAGCAAGCATCGAGGCAATGGTACTCTAAATTTTCTCAATCGCACTTGAATCTGGTTTTTCACAATCAAAGGCTGATTATAGCCTCTTCACAAAGGAAAATAATGGTTCTTTCATAGCTTTATTAGTGTATGTCGATGACATACTTGTGGCCATCAATGACATTAATTCTGTCAGCCAGTTGAAACTCTTTCTTGACAGCAAATTTAAGATAAAGGACCTTGGCTCTTTGAGGTATTTTCTTGGCATTCAGATTGCCCGCTCCTCTAAAGGTATCTTTTTATGTCAAAGAAAGTACACTTTGGACATTTTAGTTGATTCTGGAACTTTGGGCAGCAAACCTACTAAGGTTCCCATGGAACAAAACCTCAAGTTAACTCCATCTTGTGGCCAACCTCTATCAGACCCGAGTGTGTATAGACGATTGATTGGTTGTCTTCTCTATCTTACAATTACTCGACCTGACATCTGTTACAGTGTGCAAACTTTGAGTCAATTTATGGCTGCCCCCATTGATTTTCATCTCTCTGCTGCTTAGAAAATTCTCAAGTATCTCAAAGCTGCACCGGGTCAGGGGTTACTTCTACCCAGCTCCTACTCACTTCAACTCACCGCTTCTTGTGACTCGGATTATGCCTCATGTCCCGACACTAGACGATCAGTCACTGGGTACTGTATCTTCCTTGGTTCATTGTTGATTTCATGGAAATCGAAGAAGCAGCCCGTTGTTTCTCGATCCTCAACCGAGGCTAAGTATCGATCGATGGTAGCTACATGTTGTGAGCTTACCTGGCTGTGATTTCTACTTTCTGCTCTCCAAGTTTCTCACCCCCAAGCCGCTGCCTTGCACTGTGATAACCAAGCTGCCATCCATATTACCGCCAACCCTGTCTTCCACAAGAGGACGAAACACATCGAGCTTGATTGTCACTTGATTCGTGACAAGATGCAATCAAAACTTTTTATGTTCCAACCTCCAATCAGTTGGCTGATCTTTTGACTAAAGCTTTGTCATTTATTGTTCTTCATTCTCACTTATCCAAGATGGGAGTTCTTAACCTCCACTCTCCATCTTCCGCCGGGGGGGGGGGGGGGGGGGGGGGGTGGGGGGGGGGGGGGGGGGGGGGGGTGGGGTTGTTGTATTAGAGCATAATACACCACAAGGGAACGTGTCCATATTGAAGAATGATGATTTCATTATTCTTTTCTGTTATTTATTTTGGTTTGCTGTACATTCTGTTTGCTGAGTTGTACAAAGGGACAATAATGTATTTTCCCCTTTATAGGTTGTTAGAAGATTCTTTTGTAATAGTATATAGACAGCTGTGTATAGTTAATTAAAAAGATATCAGAGAACATTTTTCCTCCATCTTCCTGGACGATTCTTTTCTGTTCTTCATCTTGTTACAGCAGATCTTCTGTTCTTATTATTTCCGACAATTTTTATAGAATAATATTTATCAGCTTCAACCATTTTTAATTTGCCAAACAAAAGTGATCTGGAATATTCTTTACAAATTATAGGGATCTTCCTGTTATTTACCCTACAGATCGTCCACAAGTTTAGTGAAGTATCAAAACAACCCCTATTGGTTGGAAAATCAGAGTTTGTAATATTAATAGATATTAGGGGTCTGAATTAGTCCCTAAAAATCTGACTTCATTAATCAGCTGAATCTTCTTGTTCGGAACTCGTTGCAGAAAGCGGAGGGATTGAGAGACTCGAAGCAAGCGCAGCCGAAGAAGGAGATGGACAACGATAACGATTTCACATTTTGTCAGGCGAGTTTTGAAATTTTCTTTTATATTTCTATCGATTTTGAGTTCTGAGCATATTTAACAAATTTCGCTGGCTTTTATCATTAGGTCGAGAAGAGTGTGGACTCGGGGATCGATCAAATTAATGAAAACCAAACCAACGGTTTTCTATGGAACAGCAACAACAAAGAAGTAGCCGCGAAGAAGGAGGAGAGAGCTGGGTCTTTGGCGTTTAATGTTATTGATGCTTCTTCGTCATCTTCTGATGGTAAAAGTTCAGGCAAAGTTCCGGCTCGAAAGCGGGCTTCTCGGACTAAGGTTCCGTTTGAGAAAGGTTATAGCCAAGTTGATTGGCTTAGGCTTACCCAAACTCATCCTGATCTTGCTGGTACTCTTTGAAACCCTAACTTTACAGAAATTTTAATTTTTTGGGTTCTAAGGAATGTTATGTGTATATTATTCTAATCGGAAAGCATGGATGATTTCTTACTGGCCTTTTACAAAGAATGGGCCATTTTATAAGCGGACAGCTTGATTAGTTAACCTGTGTTTAGAGGATGAGGGTTGCGTTCATTTGAAGAGAAGTTCATTGCTTGCAGTAAAATCTTGCTAATTTTTTGTCGTTTGTGTACCTGGTTTGCATATATGCATATAACTTTTTCAGATAATATCGTGAATTAACTTTTATATCCATGTGTGCGATGAGTATTAACAGTTTGTACATGATGTGTGGTTTTACATGTTATATTTTGTTCATTTGAAGGGAAGTTCATTGCTTGCAGCAAAATGTTGCTAATTTTTTGTCGTTTTTGTACCTGGTTTGCATATATGCATATAACTTTTTCAGATAATCCATGTGTGCGTATGAGTATTAACAGTTTGTACATGATGTGTGGTTTTACATGTTATATTGGACCTTATGTATCTTATATGATTGGAAGAGGTCAAGCTAGATATGGGCTTTGGGAGGCAGTCCTCTGATAAGAGGTTGATTTATAGGCTGGCAACACATTCAGGCAGTTTTTATTTGATTATGTTCATGAAAGGCCTTGTCTGGCTATGACAATTGCTTACAAGCTTTAATTTGTATGCTCTGCACTTCTGAAACTGCTTGGGGTTTTTTCCCCCTCATTTCTGTCTGTCTGTTTCTCTTTTGGTTAAAAAATCAAGGGGAATGCTCAAATAAAAGATAAATTACTCCTTGCAGTTGGATGCTAATGGGTTTGTGTTAGTGGCTTACTTTACTTTGGACTTCCCAAAGAACCTAGTCGAAATACAGTGGAATGCTTGCAACATTGTTTCTGTAAGATCATTATGCAATGCTCTCAATGATATATCTTGTATGAACTCTTCTAATGGTCGGACATATTTGAGTTTATAACTGTTAATGATACATCTTTAAAGCAAGCATAATCTAGTTATTGGAAGCTAGTCAACTTCTACCAATTCTCTGTCCACTGCTCTCTTGCATTAAATCACAACCCACCAATTTAAAGGCTTTAGTAAATTGATGTGAGGCATGGGGAATGAAATGAAATAAAGAACATGGCATGTGTAACCGGTCTAGTGATTGAATAAAATAAAAAAGGAGTCTGTCTTAACTGTCTATAAGTTGCATTCCAGGATTGAAGGGGCAGTCAAACAAGAGGCTTATCACTATGGATGAAGTGAAACAAAATAAAAAAGAAGGTTCCATGTGGACTGTCTTAAAAGGTCGCGTTTATAATTTATCTCCATACATGAAGTTTCACCCTGGAGGTATGGACAAGATTTATCCTCTTAGAGTTTCAAATTTTTACTTGTTCTTCGATCTTGAACATTCGATAATTTGTTTGCTGTTACATTGCATATGAAGGAACATTATCTTATTTTGGATGAAATCTTTTTTAGGTGTTGATATGCTGATGAAGGCAGTGGGTAAAGACAGTACATCTTTATTCAGTATCCTTTTCTGGAAGCTTACTTGTCTGCACTGTTTCATAGAAATGACAGTATAATTTTATCAATGTTTCTAGGACCTAGTGATTATCCCCTTTGGTGGTTTTATTGTTGCATTTTCGAACCAAATGATCCAATCTTACATTAGGATAACAAATCTACTCAGAGAGACTTCTGCATTACAGAAATTAGGATCACGTATGATTGCATGCCATTCTAATTTGACACAACAACTAAGATTTTTTTTTCTTTTTCTTTTATGACACTAACAGTCACACAAGTTAAGCTTGGCGAGAAAGGTGGTCTAATGGCCAATGAAGAATCTTGGTGGTAGCCATTTCTTCCTGCTTTAAACTAGCTGCATAAAATTGCAATCCTTAATGTTTTATTCCAGATAAATACCATGCTTGGGTAAATGCTGAGTTCTTATTGGCGAAGTGCTTGGTGGGTACATTGGAGAAAGTGGGTGAAGGCCATGATTCTTCAAAAATTTAGAAGTTGCTCCCTTCCATCACATCATTCATACTGGCCTCAACCATTCCTTTTTTCATGTTGTATTATTTAAAGATGTATACTATTTTACCCCTTTTTTAGCCAGTGGGGGAACGATTTCTTTACACCTTTTGGGTGTTTGATTCATACAAAGATCAACATTTACAATAAAAATGTACATTTGTAGATGAATTGTTGTAATAATTTACCACACATGGGTTTTTATCTCATCTTGAATGGCAGATGCTCAGTCTTCTTGCACAAAAGAAAGTGATTTTGGATATGTCTATCAAAGAAACATCAATCATCAAAATCTTGGTTTGCCACTTGGCACGCAAGGAAAACTTGATTGAACTTCCACAGAGTGAATGACATTTTCCCAACCAAAGTTTGGGTGAGAAAATGTTACTCAGCCTCGTTAAAAATTATAAAGTCAAATAATTAAGGGTATCACAATCCTTTTGTACTTTTACCGTTGTCAGGCAATTGAATCCCTTGATGGAGATTGATTTGGTCATGTTTTGTTTGTGCTGCAAAAGACTGCAACTTCAACTAGTCCCAAATTGGAGAATTGCGGCATACTCGACGATCCGTTTGAGTTTCCTTTTGCAGAATGCATTACTTTTTTCTATATCTTTCTCATCGGTTGAAGTTGTGGCACATGATAGAGAAAAACAACCAAAACAACATTCATTCACAGTGTCTTATTTCATAAACTCGTGGGTTGTCCCCAGAAATTGCTGCTTCTTTATCAAAGAAAGTAGCTTTTGAAACCCCAGAAAACCCAGATTCTGTACTTGGCCTTCTCAGAAAATATGGGTTTACCGATGCTCACATATCCAAGCTATAGTTTGGAGAAGAGAATCATCCCGAGAAGCAGAGTTTTAAGGGTTTTGTTGTTGAACGACTTGATTAAGAAAATTTTCAGTATGTCTCTTGTGCTGCGGCCTTCTGAAAAGCGTTCACAGACAAATTTTTGTCCAATTATCAGGAACAGGTTCCACAAATATTTGATATATATCAAGGGAAAATTGATCTTTCAGAACTAGGCATTGGATTTGAGCAAAAACCTGAGGCAAACCAACTGTAGCTTGTTATTTGTTGATTTTTTTATACACGTTTTTTTTTCTTTTTATATTGTTGCTTGCTAATGTGAGTGCCTTTGGCCCTGAACTTATTTAGCTCCGAATACAGCTTAGAGCTTCTTGTGTCAGTTCTCATTTTTTAATTGGACAAACTGAAATGAAAGAAGTTGCTGAACACACAGGAGGAAGTAATGATTCAATCATGTTATACAAATCTCTAATTGTTGTTTGTCCATGTCAATCCAAAAATAAACATTCCCTTTATTTTTATTTGCCTCTTTATGGATGTTGCTGTAAGCATTGGAATGGCGTACGATCTTGACCACCTGGTTTTGGGTTTTATTTCCACTATTATTAGTCTGTGTCATGGTTTTCTGACTTAGGAAGAGTAGAAGATGCTATAATTATCAAATTGGAATGCTGAAGAAAGGAAAATTTGTGAAGTAAGTTAAATGGGGAAATCGATTGGGGTCAAATACTGGACACAGTTTGCTTCAGAGAGGTTGGAAGTGGCGGTTTTTTAAAAAGCTACTGAATTGGCAGTAGTTGAGTTGCCAGCTCCACCACACAACACCCAAGTCACAAAAAGATTTTGACTAAACCCAATAAACGACCGTTCATAAAATAAATTGTCATTCCTCATGGAAGGAACCGGTCATGTATGAATGGATGGTCGTTCCTTGATAAGAAACGGTCATTTGTTGTGAAGGAATAATCGTTCTTTAATCAGGAACGGTTATTCCTTATGAATGAATGATTATTCAATATGAATGACTGACTATTCCTTCACGACGAATGATCATTCGTTTTTAAAAAACAACCATTCATATTTAGTCAAAGTTGTCAGTTGCCGTGTTAATGCTAACTCAGGTACCATGTCGGTTTGTAAAAAAAAGTTTGTGAGATTCTTCTGTTATTTGTCAATATAGTATTACCTCCAAGTTATTATCATTGAAGGAATTTTTTGAGGAAGAAAATATCGGAGTTGTGTTTTAAAGGAAGAATCATGTCATACTTGCCATTCATGGATGCATAGACGGTAATCACATTTTACAACTGTAGTTATTTATTAAAAGTTCAGTACCACAAATTTTTTTTTTTTTTTTTGGATACCATAAGAATTAATGTTAATTATTAAATTTAACAGAAAAATGACTTGTGAGTTTTGAGAAGCCAATCTTACAAACTCTTTCTCACAGCCTCAACACAATAGCTCGTAATTGGTTAGTTTACGAATATATTTTGCTTTCTCGCTATATCATGTCTGTCCAATTGCGAGCTACCACATCGTAATTGTGAGAAAAAATTTGTTAGATTAGGTTATAACCAAATTTTAATGAAAAAAATAATATAGAAATATTTAAAATCCCCTAATTGTTTCCTAATATCACCCAAGTCCATTAATTTTCAGAAAATATCAGTGAGTCCTTCACAATTTCCGTTTATTGCCCTTAACTCAGCTGGGGACAAGTTTTCTCTTAGGTTTAGCCGTTCTTGAAGTTGAAGGTGAAGAAAAGAGTGAAAAAAAATGTTCTCCTTCGTATCCAAGAATCTGTTTTTGGTGTACAAGCACGAAGTGTTCATGTTCATTTGTTCAAAACACCAGTTAGCGGAAGTGTCTTCTTCTTCTCTTCTACGAGGTACAAGCTAGTGAGTTAAATCTACATACTGAACAAAACCTTCAATACATTGTTAGTAATACTTTTCGCCGATTACGATGAGTGGTTATGTGTATAGAAGGCTAGTATATGCACAAGTTTTACCAAATATTTATAGGTGTGTCGTTCCAAATTTAGGCACTAATCATGTGGATTTGTGTTTGAGTTTTTTGCCCACCAGCATTAGATCATTCTCCAACAAAATCGAACAAGTTAGAGAGGATTACTTATTTACTGTGCCATACCTCATAAACTCCTGTGGGTTGTCCCCAGAAAAGGCAGAATCTGTCTCCAAAAGAATCAAGCTTCAATCAGCTGAACAACCAGATTTGGTCTTGAAAGTTCTAAGAAACCGTGGATTTACGACTGCCCATATAGCCAAACTTGTTGGACTGCGCCCTAGTTTACTTTTAGCCAATCCTGAGAAGTCAATTTTGCCTAAATTTAAATTTTTCAACACTTTCGGGATCACAGATGCTGAGCTTGCGAGGGTTTGCTCTTCAAATCCAACTATTTTGGGTTGCAGTTTGGAAAATCTACTCATTCCTAACTATAAATTCCTCAAAAGTGTGCTCCTCTCTGATGCTAATGTTATTAAATCTTTTAGAAACAACTCATGGCTCTTTCTGCAAGATTTGCCAAAGACTCTGTCTCCAAAACTTGCAGTGCTGAGAGAACTCGGAATGCCTGAGAATTTTGTTGCATTGATTTTAACATGTTATATCTCTATAGTCCTTCAAAAACGTGAGAAGTTTGACAAAAATGTCAAGAAGGTTATTGAAATGGGTTTTGATCCTCAGAAAAGTGGGTTCATCCATGCGATGCAGGTGTTTGTTGCAATGAGTCAATCAACTCGGGAACATAAATTAGACGTTTTCAGGGGGTGGGGTTGGTCTGATGAGGACATTATGTTGGTGTTCAGAAAGCGCCCCAGTTTTATGAATGCCTCTGAAAGCAAAATAATGAATGCAATGGATCTTCTTGTGAACAAGATGGGTTGGCAGTCCACAGATATTGCCTTGTGTCCAGACATTTTCCTTATGAGTTTGGAAAAGAGGGTAATCCCAAGGTGTTTGGTTATTAAAGTTCAAAGAGGGTAATCCCAAGGTGTTTGGTTATTAAAGTTCTGCAATCGAAGGGGTTGGTGAAGAAAAAATTGTGCCTAAGTTCATGTGTAAAACCCGTTGAGAAGCTATTCTTGGATAGGTTTGTGACAAAATACTTGGACCAGGTTCCTGAATTGATGAATATCTATCAAAGGAAGGATGGGTTTCAGGCTCTGGATATGAATATCTGTGTTTCTTCCAGCAAACTGTAGCATGTCAACTTTCCAAACCTAAAACGATTGTAAAATCTCTAATTGGTAATTACTACATTTCAGCGTTTTGGTTTATTGAACAATGTTGAATTACTTCAGTTAGTTCTGCAGATCAACATTGTTTTCATCTCTTTCCAATTTGCATTTGATTCATATTTAGAATGTGGTAAACTTTTAAGCTAATTTGTTACATGACTAGTAGATGCAGTCCTGAATCTCAATTATGTGGTTTTGATTGGAGTTTCTTACAAGACCTTTCGTGCTAGCAAATTGCAGTGAAGCTTGATAGGTAGTCTTGCTTAACTTGAACCATATATTGGAGTGAATTTTAGTATGTCTTCTGTGCTGATGTTCTGTGAAAAGTACTTGACAGACACATTTTTTTTCCAAGGTATCAGGAACAGGTTCGGCAACTATTTGGTACATGTCAAGGGAAAATTAATCTTTTCGAACTAGGCATCATCAGATTTAAGCAAGAGCCTGAAGCAAATATATTGTTAATTCTTCATACACATGATTTTCTTATTGTTGTTTGTTAATATGGGTGCCTTTCTGGATACAGCTTACAGCTTCTTTTATCAGTTCTCATTGTTTAATTGGAAAGAATGAAGTTGATGAACACATAGGAGTTATGTACTGACTAATTCATGTTATACAAATCTCTAATATTCTAATTTGTTTTAACAGAGTATAATTGAACATTGTATTATCACCTGGTTTTGGTTTTACTTTCATTATCATTTTGTCTTTGTCAACGTTTTCTGATTTAGAGAAGAAGACAATACTTTGTTTTTTATTTTATTTTTATAATTGCCACCCATGGTTTTCCGTAATGACATTTTCCCACCCCTAAACTTTGAAAAAAAAAAAAAAAAAGAAACATTTTCTCAACTATTGTTAAAATTCAGACCTTGGTTTTAACGGGCATTCTCGAATGTTATTATATGGTCAAATATCTAACATTACTTTCACCAACTTAAAGCATGTGTGTTTGAAAAAAAAAAAAAAAAAAAAGTGTATATATTATCTCTAAAAATTATAATAATGTTTATCAATTAAATATTTATAAATTTACAAAATAAACTTTTTCATTAAAATTGTATATATTTTATGAAATTATATAAAAGTATAATTTCTAAAAAAAGAAAGAAAAATGAAAATTTGTAAAAAAAAGGTAGAAAAATCAGAAAATAAAAAATTATGAAAAAAAAATACTGCTGGAGTGGAAAAAAAATTGTGATTTTATATTAACCCTAAAATTAATATAAACCAAACAAGGGGTGAAAAATACATTTAGTAAAATTTGGGTGGAAAATATTATTCAGCTTCCTTAAAAACTATAAGGAAAATAGTAAAGAGTATTGTACAGTCGTAGCTTTTACTACCCGTGTCAGGTAATATAATCCACTGACGAAGATAGACTATGGGTGGGAAATTTACGGCAAACCTGGGGTGAAAAATTGTCATTCACTCAATTTGAAAAGTGAAAACCCTAAAAGCAGTTTATCAGAATCTGTGTTGCAATCTACGATGGCATTTGTATAAAGATTCGCAATCTAGTACCCGGTTTGAGCTGAAAATTTGAAATAATTCGTGAGTACTTTCTTGCTCTTCTGTTTCTTTTTCTTCATTTCCAACTGGCTTCTTATCCAGGAATATTTTCTTGGGGTAATAGCACGGATTTATTTGCTTCTAACACTGGTTAGCGGAAGTGTCTTCTTCTTCTCTTCTACAAGCTGGTGAGTTAAATCTACATACTGAACAAAACCTTCAATACATTGTTATTAATATTTTTCACCGATTACGATGTGTGGTTATGTGTATACAAGGCTAGTATATGCACAAGTTTTACCAAATATTTATAGGTGTGTCGTTCCAAATTTAGGTACTAATCATGTGGATTTGTGTTTGAGTTTTTTGCCCACCAGCATTAGATCATTCTCAACCAAAATCGAACAAGTTAGAGAGGATTACTTATTTACTGTGCCATACCTCATAAACTCCTGTGGGTTGTCCCCAGAAAAGGCAGAATCTGTCTCCAAAAGAATCAAGCTTCAATCAGCTGAACAACCAGATTTGGTCTTGAAAGTTCTAAGAAACCGTGGATTTACGACTGCCCATATAGCCAAACTTGTTGGAATGCGCCCTAGTTTACTTTTAGCCAATCCTGAGAAGTCAATTTTGCCTAAATTTGAGTTTTTCAACTCTTTCGGGAGATCACAGATGCTGAGCTTGTGAGTGTTTGCTCTTCAAATCCAACTATTTTGGATCGCAGTTTGGAGAACCAACTGATTCCTAACTATAAATTCCTCAAAAGTGTGCTCCTATCTGATGCCAAAATTATTAAATCTTTAGCAAACAAATCATGGCTCTTTGAGTATGATTTGGCAAAGACTGTGTCTCCGAAACTTGCAGTCCTGCGAGAACTTGGTATGCCTGAGCATTCTGTTGCATTGATTTTAACATGTTATTCCCATATAGTGCTCCAAAAACGTGAGAAGTTTGACAAAAATGTCAAGAAGGCTATTGAAATGGGTTTTGATCCTCAGAAAAGTGGGTTCATCTATGCGATGCAGGCGTTTGTTGCAATGAGTCAATCAACTTGGGAGCATAAATTGGATGTTTTCAGGGGGTGGGGATGGTCTGATGAGGACATTATGTTAGTGTTCAGAAAATGCCCCAATTGTATGAATGCCTCTGAACGCAAAATAATGAATGCAATGGATTTTCTTGTGAACAAGATGGGTTGGCAGTCCACAGATATTGCCTTGTCTCCATACATTTTCCTTATGAGTTTGGAAAAGAGGGTAATCCCAAGGTGTTTGGTTATCAAAGTTCTGCAATCGAAGGGGTTGGTGAAGAAAAAATTGTGCCTAAGTTCATGTGTAAAACCTGTTGAGAAGCTATTCTTGGATAGGTTTGTGACAAAATACTTGGACCAGGTTCCTGATTTGATGAATATCTATCAAAAGAAGGAAGGCTTTCAGGCTCTTGATATGAATATCTATGTTTCTTCCAGCAAACTGTAGTATGTCAACTGTTAATTCTTTGTACACATGATTTTCTTGTTGCTGTTTGCTAATTTGGGTTCCTTTGGCCCTGAACTTATTCAGCTCTGGATATAGCTTACAGCGTCTTTTATCAGTTCTCATTGTTTAATTTTTTAATTTGTTTTAACAGAGTATAATTTTACAGTACATTTCCTTGAAGTTATTAATTCCCCGCACTTACTTTGCAAGTCTGAGATCGAAACTGGAGCCCCACTTGTTTTTTATTATTGTTGAAGGGATTTGTCAAGAATGAAATGTATCGAAGATGTTTGTATAATTGCTAGAGAGAAACCTGTGTTTTAAAGCCCGGATTGGACCGGCCTATCAGATGGGGACCCGACAGCCTCTTCGGGCTGTATCAGGTTCTAGGGGGTTTCTGCTATATTTCAAACTTATAGGGATTAGTTTGTAATTTTTTAGGGTTTCAATATTTCAAAATTATAGGGAGTAGAGAATTCTTTTTTTGGATATCTTCGTAATATACTAAAATTTGAGGATTATTTTGTAATTTTTTAAAAATATTTTTGTTGTTGACGTCCCTAGTCCAATCGGTTGGACCGATTGACCCCTGACTCGATCACCTTGTCAAGTCTTACAACAGGTCGGATTTTAAAACAATGCAGTGAACTACTTCTTGCATAATTTACTTGTCATTTTCAATTTCATTTCAATGCTTGTGATACCAGGCATCCCTAAATCCAGATGCATCCATAGATTAGAGTAATCACAATTTACAATTCTATTTATTCATGTCAAACGATCTTACAAATTTCATGACAAAATTAAAAGTTCTTGTGTTAAATTCGATACAAGAATAATGTATTTATTTATTTCTTTTAGTTTAAAAAGATGAAATTTTACTACAATCCTCAACTTTTGCTTAAATTTTACAAGTCCATATATTTGAAGAAAATAGAGTGAATGACTTTTCCCACTAAAGTTTGTCGTTTCTTTCCAACCCTAAACTTTGGAAAAAAACATTTTTCCACCCATCATTAAAATTCGGACATTAGTTTTAACAGAAAGGGGCATTCTTGTCAGACCGCACAAATGTTATTATAGGGTCAATATCACTTACATCCTAAAATAAAAATACATGTAGTTACCTTAACTAAGTTGGAAATTAGCCATTTAAACCCCATCTGTAATTTCTATAATTACAAAGAAGGTTTCACTTTTAAAGTATGCATATTTTTAAAAAGATTTAAAATTGTATATATTATTTTTTTAAATTATAAAAATATCTGTAATAAAATTATAAAACAATATTTCATTAAAACTGTATATTTTATGAAATTATATAAAAATATAATATCCAAAAAAGAAAAAATTGAAAAATTGCATAAAAGAAGAAAATTGGAAAAAAATAAAAATTAAGAAAATTGGAAAAAAATAAAAAATTAAGTTTAATAAAGTTTTGAGGGAAAATGTTATTCAGCCTCGTTAAAAAATATCAAATAGTAAAGGTATTATAGTCTTTTCATGGTTTTACCCCAATCAGATAAAATAATCAATTTACGAAGACTGACGCTAGATGGGAAATTGGCTTTTTTCAAAGTTTCTGGGGAAAAATAAAAAACGGAAAACCATGGGTGGGAAATTGTAATTCACTCAGTTTGAAAGGGAAAACCCTAGAAGCAGTTTATCAGAATCTGTGTTGCAATTCTATGAGGGCATTTGTATAAACATTCGCAATCAAATATCCAGTTCAAGCTGAAAATTTGAAATAATTCTTGAGTGCTTTCTTTCTCTTCATTTGGATTTGATTTGGCCATGTTTTGTTTGTGCCGCAAAATACTGCAATTTCAACTAGTCCCAAATTGGGGAAATGCGGCATACTCGACTATCCATTTGAGTTTTCTTTTGCAAAATACATCACTTTTTTGTAAATCTTTCTCATCCGTTGAAGTTGTGGCACATGATAGAAAAAAACAACCAAAACAACATTCATTCACAGTGTCTTATTTCATAAACTCATGTGGGTTGTCCCCAGAAATTGCTGCTTCTTTATCAAAGAAAGTAGCTTTTGAAACCCCAGAAAACCCAGATTCTGTACTTGGCCTTTTCAGAAAATATGGGTTTACCGATGCCCAAATATCCAAACTAATTAAAAAAAGACCGGAAGTGCTTGTAAGTAGTGTTGAGGAAACTCTTTTACCAAGCTAGAGTTTTTCCATTCTGTGGGGATTTCTTGTACTGACCTTGCGAATTTAATGTATTCAAACCCTTTTTTTTTGGCGAAGTAGCTTAGAGAAACAAATTATCCCTAACTATAATTTCCTCAAGAGTTTGGTTTCCAACAACGAAAAAATTGTCGATGTTTGGAAGCGGGCCATTCATTTGCATGATGCGCAAAAGAGAGTTGTTCCTAATATCTCTGCTTTGAAAGGAATTGGGGTGACACAATCAGGTATTTCAGCTTTGGCCACCTCACATCCTAGTGTATTATGTGAAAGGTCTGAGAAGTTTGATGAATATGTCAAGAAGGTTATCGAGATGGGATTCAACCCTTCAACCAGTGCATTTATCCACGCACTCACAGCAGTTACGTCCATGTCCAACAATACGTGGGAACAAAAACTGAAGGTTTATAGGAGGTGGGGTTGGTCTGAAATTGACTTCTGGTTAGCTTTTAGAAGAATTCCCAGATGTATGACTCTGTCTGTGGAGAATATAAATAGCAAGATGGACTTTTTTGTGAACAAGATGGGTTGGCAACCTTCAGAGGTTGCTAGAACCCCTGTGGCTTTAGGTCTTAGTTTGGAGAAGAGAATCATCCCGAGATGCAGAGTTTTAAGGGTTTTATTGTTGACCGACTTGATTAAAAAAAAAAATCAGTATGTCTTATGCGCTGCTGCCCTCTGAAAAGCGCTTCACAGACAATATTTTGTCCAAGTATCGGGAACAGGTTCCACAAATATTTGATATATATCAAGGGAAAATTGATCTTTCAGAACTAGGCATTGGATTTGAGCAAAAACCTGAGGCAAACCAACTGTAGCTTGTTATTTGTTGATTTTTTTTATGCACATGTTTTTTTTCTTTTTATATTGTTGCTTGTTTATGTGAGTGCCTTTGGCCCTGAACTTATTCAGCTCTGAATACAGCTTAGAGCTTCTTGTATCAGTTCTCATTGTTTAATTGGACAAACTGAAATGAATGAAGTTGATGAACACACAGGAGGAATTTATGATTAAATCATGTTATACAAATCTCTAATTGTTGTTTGTCCATGTCAATCCGAAAATAAACATTCCCCTTTTTCTTTTTCTTTTTTCTCTTGATGGATGTTGCTGTAAGCATTGAAATGGCGTATGATCTTGATCACCTGGTTTTGGGTTACTTCCATTATCATTAGTCAGTCTCATGGTTTTCTGATTTAGGAAGTGAAAAAGATGCTATAATTATGAAATTGGAATGCTGGACATGGTTTTGACTCCTGTGAAGAATAATAACAAGCAATTAAAATTTTGCAAAGAAAGGAAAAATTGTAAACTAAAGTTAAATGGGAGAAATCTATTGAGGTAAAATAATGGGCACGGTTTGCTTGAGAGGCGTTGAAAATGGTGGTTTATAAAAAGCTAATGAATTCCTGGTTTTTAAAATGGTGGCTTACTGTAAGGAATGTTATGTGTATATTATTCTAATTGGAAAACATGGTTGATTGCTTACTGGCCTTTTACAAAGAATGGACCATTTCATAAGCGGACAGCTTAATTAGTTAACCTGTGTTTAGAGGCTGAGGTTTGTGTTCATTTGAAGATAAGTTCATTGCTTGCAGCAAAATGTTGCTCAATTTTTGTCATTTTTGTACCTGGTTTGCATATATATATGTATAACTTTTTCAGATAATATCGCACCTTATATATCTTATATGATTGGAAGAGGTCAAGCTAGATATGGGGTGGGGGAGGTAGTACTCTGACAGTAGAGGTTGATTTATAGGCTGGCAACACATTCAGGCAGTTTTTATATGATTGTGTTCATGGAAGGCCTTGTCTAGCGACGACATTTGCTTACAAGCTTCAATTTGTATGATCTGCACTTCTGAAACTGCTTGGGGCTTTTTCCCCTCTCATTTCTGTCTGTCTGTTTCTCTTTCGGTTAAAAGTTCAAGGGGGATAGTTGTAGTTGGATGCTAATGAATTTGTGTTAGTGGCTTACTTTGGATTTCCTTAAGAACCTAGTCGAGATACAGTTGTATGCTTGCAACATTGTTTCCATAAGATCATTATGCAGTGCTGTCGATTATATATCTCGTATGAACTCTTCTACTGGTCAGACATTTTTGAGTTTATAACTGTTAATGATACATCTTTGAAGCAAGCATAATCTAGTGATTAGAAGCTAGTCAACTTCTACCAATTTAAATGCTTTAGTAAAATGACGTGAGGCATGGGGAATGAAATGAAATAGAACACCTGGTTTTTGTTTTACTTTCATTATCATTTTGTCTTTGTCAACGTTTACTGATTTAGAGAAGAAGATAACACTTTGTTTTTTTTTTTTTTTTTTTTTTTTTTTATAATTCAAATTCCCCCCAGGTTTTCCTTAATGACATTTCCCACCCTAAACTTTGAAAAAAACATATATTGTATTATTATTCTAAAAAATTATAATAATATTTATCAATTAATATTTCTAAATTTACAAAATAAATTTTTTCATTAAAATTGTATATATTTTATGAAATTATATAAAAGTATAATTTCTAAAAAAGAAAAAATGAAAATTTGTAAAAAAAGTAGAAAAACTGAAAATTAAAAATTAAAAAAAAAACTGCTGGAATGGAAAAAATTTGTGATTTTATATTAACCCTAAATTAATATAAACCAAACACGGGTGAAAAATATATTAATAAAGTTTGGGTGGAAAATATTATTCAGCTTCCTTACAAATTATAAAGAAAATAGTAAAGAGTATTATACAGTAGTCTTTTACTACCTGTGTCAGGCAATATAATCCACTGACGGAGATGGACTATGGGTTGGGGAATTGTTTTTTCAAAAGTTTATGGGTAAACAATGTAATTTACGGCAAACATGGGGTGAAAATTGTCATTCACTCATTTGAAAAGCGAAAACCCTAAAATCAGTTTATCAGAATCTGTGTTGCAATCTACATGCATCGTATAAAGATTCGCAATCAAGTACCCGGTTTGAGCTGAAAATTTGAAATAATTCGTGAGTACTTTCTTGCTCTTCTGCTTTTTTTTCTTCGTTTCCAACTGGCTTCGTATCCAGAAATATTTTCTTGGGGTAATAGTAGGAATTTATTTGCTTCTAACACCGGTTAGCGGCAGTGTCTTCTTCTTCTCCTCTACAAGCTGATGAGTTAAATCTACATACTGAACAAAACATTCAATACATTGTTATTAATATTTTTCACCGATTACGATGTGTGGTTATGTGTATACAAGGCTAGTATATGCACAAGTTTTACCAAATATTTATAGGTGTGTCGTGCAAAATTTAGGTACTAATAATGTGGATTTGTGTTTGAGTTTTTTGCCCACCAGCATTAGATTATTCTCCACCAAAATCGAACAAGTCAGAGAGGATTACTTATTTACTGTGTCATACCTCATAAACTCCTGTGGGTTGTCCCCAGAAAAGGCAGAGTCTGTCTCCAAAAGAATCAAGCTTCAATCCGCTGAACAACCAGATTCGGTCTTGAAAGTTCTAAGAAACCGTAGATTTACGACTGCCTATATAGCCAAACTTGTTGGAATGAGCCCTAGTTTACTTTTAGCCAATCCTGAGAAGTCAATTTTGCCTAAATTTGAGTTTTTCAACTCTTTCGGGATCACAGATGCTGAGCTTGTGAGTGTTTGTTCTTCAAAACCAACTATTTTGGATCGCAGTTTGGAGAACCAACTGATTCCTAACTACAAATTCCTCAAAAGTGTGCTCCTCTCTGATGCTAAAATTATTAAATCTCTAACAAACAAATCATGGCTCTTTCATTATGATTTGGCAAAAACTGTGTCTCCAAAACTTGTAGTCCTAAGAGAACTTGGTATGCCTGGGCATTCTGTTGCATTGATTTTAACATGTTATTCCCATATAGTGCTCCAAAAACGTGAGAAATTCGACAAAAATATCAAGAAGGTTATTGAAATGGGTTTTGATCCTCAGAAAAGTGGGTTCATCCATGCGATGCAGGCGTTTGTTGCAATGAGTCAATCAACTTGGGAACATAAATTGGACATTTTCAGGGGGTGGGGATGGTCTGATGAGGACATTATGTTGGTGTTCAGAAAATGCCCCAATTGTATGAATGCCTCTGAACGCAAAATAATGAATGCAATGGATTTTCTTGTGAACAAGATTGGCTGGCAATCCACAGATATTGCCTTGTGTCCAGACATTTTCCTTATGAGTTTGGAAAAGAGGGTAATCCCAAGGTGTTTGGTTATCAAAGTTCTGCGGTCGAAGGGGTTGGTGAAGAAAAAATATAACCTAAGTTAATTTGTAAAACCTGTTGAGAAGCTATTCTTGGATAGGTTTGTGACAAAATACTTGGACCAGGTTCCTGAATTGATGAATATCTATCAAAGGAAGGAAGGGTTTCAGGCTCTGGATATGAATATCTATGTTTCTTCCAGCAAACTGTAGTATGTCAACTGTTAATTCTTTGTACACATGATTTTCTTATTGTTGTTTGCTAATTTGGGTTGCTTTGGCCCTGAACTTATTCAGCTCTGGATATAGCTTACAGCGTCTTTTATCAGTTCTCATTGTTTAATTTTTTAATTTGTTTTAACAGAGTATAATTTTACAGTACATTTCCTTGAAGTTATTAATTCCCCGCACTTACTTTGCAAGTCTGAGATCGAAACTGGAGCCCCACTTGTTTTTTATTATTGTTAAAGGGATTTGTCAAGAATGAAATGTATCGAAGATGTTTGTATAATTGCTGGAGAGAACCTCTGTTTTAAAACTGGGATTGGACCGGCCTATCGGATCGGGACCTGACAGCCTCTTTGGGCTGTATTAGGTTCCAGGGGGTTTCTGCTATATTTCAAACTTATAGGAATTAGTTTGTAAGTTTTTAGGGGTTTTCAATATTTCAAAATTATAGGGGGTAGAGAATTCTTTTTTTTGGATATCTTTGTAATATACTAAAATTTAAGGGATTATTTTGTAATTTTTTAAAAATGTTTTTGTTGTTGACGTCCCTGGTCCAACCGGTTGGACCGGTCTACCCTTGACTCAATCACCTTGTCAAGTCTTACAATGGGTCGGATTTTAAAACAATGGAATGAACTACTTCTTGCATAATTTACTGATTTTGTAGTATCAAATCTCTACCATTAAAGGAAAAATCCTATCATTTTCAATTTCATTTCAATGCTTGTGATACCTAAGGTGGAAAAAAAAACCCGGAAACCGAACCGGACCGAAAATCCGGTTTTTTTTTTTTTTGGTTTCGGTTTCGGTTCGATTATTAAAAAAACCAAAAATCCGGTTCGGTTTTTGGCAAAATTAATTTCGGTTACCCGGAACCGGTTTTATGAACCAAATTTAAAAAAAAAAATTATGTGGTTTACGTTTTTGATTTTGCAATCCCTAACACTAACAGTCTAACTTGTCTAACACCCTAACACTACTCACTCAGTACTCAGTAATACTCATTCTCAGTTCTCACTACTTCACTACTCACGCACGTCGCAGCCGCATGGTATTTAGTCTCAGATCAGATCTCACTCGCCTCAGTAAGTCTCGCATTCTCTCAGTCTCAGTCTTTGTCTCTCACTCTCTCTCAGACTCTCAGTTCTCGGATCTCTATTCTCACGCGGTCACGCCTTAGCCAGTAGCCACCCAAATTTCTCACGTTGCTCATGCCACCGGTCGTTGCTCACGCCGTCGATCTTTAGCTCAACAGTCGACAGTCACCAGTCGCAGTTAGCCAGTCACCATTCTTCTTCCTTCCCCAAGTCGGTGGCTCACTACCGTCGCCGTCTGGGTTTCCCAGGTCCCTCACATGTGCCTACTGCGTGACCTCAACTGCAGTCGTTGTCGTCGCTCCAGTCTCCATGTTGTTGTCTGTTTCTGGTGGATGACCTCATCTATGTCTCTCTCTCTTCTTCGGAAGCTGACTGTTATGAGGCTATGATGAAGGTTTCAAGCTTTAAGTAGGACTATTTGAGACCCGTTTATTGGCAGGGCAACCCGGAGACAGCTCCTTGTTGCAGCTATTGAAATCCTCAAGGTTTCACTTTCATAGCTGAATCTAAGCCCCCATATATCTACCACTCGTTTTGTGTTTATTATTTTACCTTATGGTTTACTAAATTGAAATTGAAGCATTTTGGTTTTAACTCAGGCACTTGCCGATGTGAAATGGGTTTGCTAGAAATTTATAAGTGAATCAACATGTACATTTTTGTTAGAAGGTTATGAATATGAATACTTTTGAATTCTAGGAGACTTAAAAGTTTCTTGCTAGTTTAGTTAAGCTGAATCCTAAAGCTTCATGATAGCAAATGATAAAATCTCTCTTTCTTTATAAGAATTATAAATAATGTTAAAATAAGGAAGAAAAATGGTTAGTCGTAGACCAAATGCAGCCCATAAGTGGAGTGTGACCGAATTGGGCCGAAAAATGCAGCCCATCATAAATTCTAATTGACCGGTTTTAAAACCGGTTAATCGAACTGAATTTTCAGTTCGGTTCATAACCAGTTTTTAACAGAAACCGGACCGGTTTTGGTTCAAAAAAAAATTAAAACCAAAAACCGGTTCGGTTAACTAGTTTTTTCCACCCCTAGTGATACTAGGCATTCCTAGATCCAGATACATCCACAAATTACAATAATCACAATTTACAATTCTACTTATTCATGTCAAACGATCTTACTAATTTCATGACAAAATTAAAAGTTCTTGTGTTAAATTCGATAAAAGAATAATGTATTTATTTATTTCTTTTAGTTTAAAAAGATGAAATTTCACTAAAATCCTCAACTTTTGCTTAAATTTTACAAGTCCATATATTTCAAGAAAAAGAGTGACTGAACTTTCCCACCAAAGTTTGGAGTTATTTTTCCAATCCCTAAACTTTGAAAAAAACATTTTTCGCCCCATCATTAAAATTCGGACATTAGTTTTAACAGAAAGGGGCATTCTTGTCAGACCGCACAAATGTTATTGTAGAGTCAATATCAGTTACATCCTAAAATAAAAATACATAACAATTACCTTAACTAAGTTGGAAATTAGCCATTTAAACCCCATCTTTAATTGCTATAAATACAACGAAGGTTCCACTTTTAAAGTATGCATATTTTTAACAAGATTTAAAATTGTATATATTATTTTTTTAAATTATAAAAATATCTGTAATAAAATTATAAAACAATATTTCATTAAAACTGTATATTTTACGAAATTATATAAAAATATAATTTCCAAAAAAAAGAAAAAATTGAAAAATTGTATAAAAGAAAAAATCCAAAAATAAAAATTATGAAAATTTGAAAAAAAAAATACATTTAATAAAGTTTTGTGGGAAAATGTTATTCAACCTCGTTAAAAAATAAAAAGTCAAATAGTAAAGGGTATGGCCTTTTCATAGTTTTACCCCTATCAGATAAAATAATCCATTTACGAAGATTGACGCTGGATGCGAAATTGTTTTTTTCCAAAGTTTCTGGGGAACATGTAATTATGGAAAACCATGGGTGGGAAATTTTCATTCACTCAGTTTGAAAAGTGAAAACCCTAGAAGCAGTTTATCAGAATCTGTGTTGCAATTCTATGAGGGCATTTGTATAAACATTCGCAATCAAATATCCAGTTCAAGCTGAAAATTTGAAATAATTCGTGAGTGCTTTCTTTCTCTTCATTTGTATTTGATTTGGCCATGTTTTGTTTGTGCCGCAAAATACTGCAATTTCAACTAATCCCAAATTGGGGAAATACGGCATCCTCGACTATCCATTTGAGTTTTCGTTTGCAAAATACATCACTTTTTTCTAAATCTTTCTCGTCCGTTGAAGTTGTGGCACATGATAGAAAAAAACAACCAAAACAACATTCATTCACAGTGTCTTATTTCATAAACTCATGTGGGTTGTCCCCAGAAATTGCTGCTTCTTTATCAAAGAAAGTAGCTTTTGAAACCCCAGAAAACCCAGATTCTGTACTTGGCCTTTTCAGGAAATATGGGTTTACTGATGCCCAAATATCCAAACTAATTAAAAAAAGACCGGAAGTGCTTGTAAGCAGTGTTGAGGAAACTCTTTTACCCAAGCTAGAGTTTTTCCATTCTGTGGGGATTTCCTGTACTGACCTTGGGAATGTACTGTGTTCAAACCCTTTTTTTTGGCGAAGTAGCTTAGAGAAACAAATTATCCCTAACTATAATTTCCTCAAGAGTTTGGTTTCCAACAATGAAAAAATTGTCGATGTTTGGAAGCGGGCCATTCATTTGCATGATGCGCAAAAGAGAGTTGTTCCCAATATCTCTGCTTTGAAAGGAATTGGAGTGACACAATCAGGTATTTCAGCTTTGGTCACCTCACATCCTAGTGTATTATGTGAAAGGTCTGAGAAGTTTGATGAATATGTCAAGAAGGTTATCGAGATGGGATTCAACCCTTCAACCAGTGCATTTATCCACGCACTCACAGCAGTTACGTCCATGTCCAACAATACGTGGGAACAAAAACTGAAGGTTTATAGGAGTTGGGGTTGGTCTGAAATTGACTTCTGGTTAGCTTTTAGAAGCATTCCCAGATGTATGACTCTGTCTGTGGAGAATATAAATAGCAAGATGGACTTTTTTGTGAACAAGATGGGTTGGCAACCTTCAGAGGTTGCTAGAACCCCTGTGGCTTTAAGTTATAGTTTGGAGAAGAGAATCATCCCGAGATGCAGAGTTTTAAGGGTTTTGTTGTTGAACGACTTGATTAAGAAAAATTTCAGTATGTCTTATGTGCTGCAGACCTCTGAAAAGCTCTTCACAGTCAATTTTTTGTCCAAGTATCAGGAACAGGTTCCACAACTATTTGATATATATCAAGGGAAATTTGATCTTTCAGAACTAGGCATTGGATTTGAGCAAAAACCTGAGGCAAACCAACTGTAGCTTGTTATTTGTTGATTTTTTTTATACGCGTTTTTTCTTTTTATATTGTTGCTTGTTAATGTGAGTGCCTTTGGCCCTGATCTTATTCAGCTCTGAATACAGCTTAGAGCTTCTTGTATCAGTTCTCATTGTTTAATTGTACAAACTGAAATGAATGAAGTTGATGAAGACACAGGAGGAAGTAAAGATTAAATCATGTTATACAAATCTCTAATTGTTGTTTGTCCATGTCAATCCGAAAATTAACATTCCCCTTTTTTTTATCTCTTGATGGATGTTGCTGTAAGCATTGAAATGGCGTATGATCTTGACCACCTGGTTTTGGGTTTTACTTCCATTATCATTAGTCTGTTTCATCTTCTGATGCTAAAACTTCAGCCAAAGTTCCAGCTTGAAAGCCGGCTTCTCGGACTAAGATTCTGTTTGAGAAAGGCTATAGCCAAATTGATTGGCTTAGGCTTTCTCAAACTCATTCTGATCTTGCTGGTACTCTTTGAAACCCTAACTTTATAGAAATTTTTTTTTTTTTTCTTTTTTTTTTTATTATTATTATTATAAGGACTGTCATGTGTCTATTATTCTAATTGGAAAGCATGGATTATTTCTTACTGGCCTTTTACAAAGAATGTGCCATTTTATAAGCGGACAGCTTGATTAGTTAACCTGTGTTTAGAGGATGAGGGTTGTGTTCATTTAAAGAGAAGTTCATTGCTTGCAGCAAAATGTTGCTCAATTTTTGTCTTTTGTGTACCTGGTTTGCATATATGTATATAACTTTTTCAGATAATATCGTGAATTAACTTGTGTGTGCGTATGAATATTAACAGTTTGTACATGATGTGTGGTTTTACATGTTATATATTTTATATGATTGGAAAGGTCAAGCTAGATATGGGTTTGGGGAGGTAGTTCTCTGACAGTAGAGGTTGATTTATAGGCTGGCAACACATTCAGGCAGTTTTTATTTGATTATGTTCATGAAAGGCCTTGTCTAGCTATGACAATTGCTTACAAGCTTCAATTTGTATGCTCTGCACTTCTGAAACTGCTAGGGGCTTTTTCACCCCTCATTTCTGTCTGTATGTCACTCTTTTGGTTAAAAAAACAAGGGGAATGCTCAAATAAAAGATAAATACTACTTGCAGTTAGATGCTAATGGATTTGTGTTAGACTGTTAGTGGCTGGCTTTACTTTGAACTTCCTGAAGAACCTAGTCGAGATACAGTTTTATGCTTGCAACATTGTTTCCGTAAGATCATTATGATTTATGCAATGCTGTCAATGATATGTGTTGTGTGAACTCTTCTAATGGTCAGACATATTTGAGTTTATAACTGTTAATGATACATCTTTAAAGCAAGCATAATCTAGTTATTGGAAGCTAGTCAACCTCTACCAATTTAAATGCTTTAGTAGAATGATGTGAGGCATGGGGAATGAAATAAAATAAAGAACACGGCATGTGCAACCTGTCTAGTGATTGAATAAAATAAAAAAGGAGTCTGTCTTAACTGTCTGTAAATTGCATTCCAGGATTTGAAGGGGCAGTCGATAAGAGGCCTATCACTATGGATGAAGTGAAACAAAATAAAAAAAAGGTTCCATGTGGACTGTCTAAAGGTCGCGTTTTAATTTATCTCCATACATGAAGTTTCGCCCTGGAGGTATGGACAAGATTTATCCTCTTAAGTTTCAAATTTTTACTGTTCTTCGATCTTGAACATTCGATAATTTTTGCTGTTACATTGCATATGAAGGAACATTATCTTATTTTGGATGAAATCTTTTTTAGGTGTTGATATGCTGATGAAGGCAGTGGGTAAAGACAGTACTCTTTATTCAGTATCCTTTTCTGAAGTTTACTTGTCCTTGTTTCATAGAATGACAATATAATTTTATCAATGTTTTCCCAGGACCTAGTGTTTATCCCTCTGTTGGTTGTTTATTGTTGCATTTTACTCCAAAGATCCAATCTTGAATAGATAACAAATATACTCAGAGACACATCTGCATTACAGAATTAGATCATTTATGATTGCATGCATCCAATTTAACACTACTACTAAGATTTTATCTTTCTTACGACACAAACCATCACACAAGTCAAAGCTTGGCAGGAAAGGTGGTCTATCGCCAATGAATGGGTACATTTGTTGAAGCTTGGTGGTAGCCATTTCTTCCTCCTTTAAACTAGCTGCATAAAATGCATTCCTTAATGCTTTATTCCAGATAATACCATGCTTAGGTAAATGATGAGTTATTATTGGCGAAGTGCTTGGGTACTTTGAGAAAGTGGGTTTAGGCCATGATTCTTCAAAAATTTAGAAGCTGCTCCCTTTTCATCTCATCATTCATGGGTCCTCTTTCATGCTGTATGATTTAAAGTGTATACTATTTTTTAGCCAGTAGGGAACGATTTCTTTACACCTTTTGGGTGTTTTTCATACAAAGATCATCATTGGCAATAAAAATGTACATCTGTAGATGTTTGTTGTAAAATTACGGTGAATAATTTCCACACATGGATTTATTATCTCATCTAGAAAACACAAAGAGTCAATGACATTTTCCCACGCATCATTAAATTCAGACAATATTTTAACAGCAAAGGGCATTTTTGTTAGTTCCCACAATAGTATTACCAGATTAGTGTTACTTTAACTCCTAAATTACAAACATAACATAACACACTCAAGTTGGGTGGGAAATTGTTTTTTTTCGAAGTTTATGGTGGGAAAGTAATATGGAAAGCTTTGGGTGAAAATGTCATCCACTAATTTGATAAGTTAAAACCCTAACAGCAGTTCAGAATCTGTGTTGCAATTCTACAGGGCATTTGTATAAAGATTCGCAACAAATACCCAGTTTAGGCTGAAAATTTGAAATAATTCGTGAGTACTTTCTTGCTCTTCTTTTTTTATTTATTTTTCTTCATTTGTATTTGATTTGGCCATGTTATGTTTGTTCTACAAAAGACTGCAATTCAACTAGTCCCATTGGAGAAATGCAGCATACTCGACGATCCATTTTTCTTTTGCAGAATACATCACTTGTTTCTAAATCTTTCTCATCGGTTGAGTTGTGGCACATGGTAGAGAAAGCAACCAAAACAACATTCATTCACAGTGTCTATTTCATAACTCATGTGGGTTGTCCCCAGAAATTGCTGCTTCTTTATCAAAGAAAGTAGCTTTTGAAACCCCTGAAAAGCCAGATTCTGTGCTTTGCCTTCTCAGAAAATATGGGTTTACCAATGCCCCATAACCAAACTAGTTAAAAAATTACCGCAAGTGCTTGTAAGCAGTGTTGAGGAAACCCTTTTACCACCAACTAGAGTTTTTCCATTCGTGGGGATTTCTGGTACTGAACTTGCGAATGTATTGTCCTCAAACCCCGTTATTTTCATCGTAGCTAGAGAAACAGATTATCCCTAACTATAATACTCAAGAGTTTGTTACCAACAATGAAAAAATTGTCATGTTGGGAGGCGGGCAAGTCATTTGCATGATGTGCAAAAGATGTTGTTCCCAATATCTCTGCCTTGAAAGGAATTGGAGTGAGACAATCAGGTATTTCAACTTTGGTCATTTCCTTTTAGTGTGTTGTTTGAAGTGTTGAGAAGTTTAATGAATATGTCAAGAAGGTTATCGAGATGGGATTCAATCCTTCGGCCAGTGCATTTACCATGCCCTAGTAGTAGTTACGGTCGTGACCGACAGTTTATGGGACAAAAACTGAAGGTTTATAGGAGTTGGGGTTGGTCTGAAAATGACTTCTGGTTAGCTTTTAGAAGCTTTCCCAGATGTAGGGCTCTTTCTGTGGAGAATATAAATACTAAAATGGATTTTTATGTGAACAGATGGGTTGGCAACCTTCAGCGGTTGCTAGAACCCTGTGGCTTTAGCTTATAGTTTGGAGAAAGAGATCATCCCGAGATGCAGAGTTTTAAGGGTTTTGTTGTTGACCAACTTGATAAAGAAAAAATTCAGTATGTCTTATGCGCTGCTGCCCCCTGAGAAGCGCTTCACAGACATATTTTTGTCCAAGTATCGGGAACAAGTTCCACAAATATTGATATATATCAAGGGAAAATTGATCTTTCGAACTAGGCATGGATTTGAGCAAAAACCCGAGGCAAACCAACTGTAGCTTGTTATTTGTTGTTTTTTTTTATGCACTGTTTGTTTCTTTTTATATGTTGCTTGTTTAGTGAGTGCTTTGGCCCTGAACTTATTCAGCTCTGAATACAGCTTAGAGCTTCTTGTATCAGTTCTCATTGTTTAATTGGACAAACGTAATGTATGAAGTTGATGAACACACAGGCGGAATTTATATTAAATCATGTTTATACAGATCTCTATTGTTTGTCCAGGTCATCCGAAAATAAACATTCCCCTTTTTCTTTTTCTTTTTTCTCTTGATTGATGTTGCTGTAAGCATTGAAATGGCGTATGATCTTGATCACCTGGCTTTGGGTACTCCCATATCATTAGTCAGTCTCATGGTTTTCTGATTTAGGAAGTGAAAAAGATGCTATAATTATGAAATTGGAATGCTGGACATAGTTTTGACTCCTGTGAAGAATAATAACAAGCAATTAAAATTTTGCAAAGAAAGGAAAAATTGTAAACTAAAGTTAAATGGGAGAAATCTATTGGGGTAAAATACTGGGCACGGTTTGCTTGAGAGGCTTTGAAAATGGTGGTTTATAAAAAGCTAATGAATTCCTGGTTTGAAAAATGGTGGCTTACTGTAAGGAATGTTATGTGTATATTATTCTAATTGGAAAACATGGATGATTGCGTACTGGCCTTTTACAAAGAATGGGCCATTTCATAAGCGGACAGCTTAATTAGTTAACCTGTGTTTAGAGGATGAGGGTTGTGTTCATTTGAAGATAAGTTCATTGCTTGCAGCAAAATGTTGCTCAATTTTTGTCATTTTTGTATCTGGTTTGCATATATGTGTATAACTTTTTCAGATAATATCGTGAATTAACTTTTATATGTTTGTGTGCTTATGTACATGATGTGTGGTTTTACATGTTATATTGCACCTTATATATCTTATATGATTGGAAGAGGTCAAGCTAGATATGGGGTGGGGGAGGTAGTACTCTGACAGTAGAGGTTGATTTATAGGCTGGCAAGACATTCAGTTAGTTTTTATTTGATTATGTTCATGGAAGGCCTTGTCTAGATATGACATTTGCTTACAAGCTTCAATTTGTATGATCTGCACTTCTGAAACTGCTTGGGGCTTTTTCCCCTCTCATTTCTGTCTGTCTGTCTCTCTTTCGGTTAAAAGTTCAAGGGGAATGCTCAAATATAAGATACTTGTAGTTGGCTGCTAATGAGTTTGTGTTAGTGGCTTACTTTGGATTTCCTTAAGAACCTAGTCGAAATACAGTTGTGTGCTTGCAACATTGCTTCCATAAGATCATTATGCAATGCTGTCAATGATATATCTTGTATGAACTCTTCTACTGGTCAGACATTTTTGAGTTTATAACTGTTAATGATACATCTTTAAAGCAAGCATAATCTAGTGATTGGAAGCTAGTCAACTTCTACCAATTTAAATGCTTTAGTAAAATGAAGTGAGGCATGGGGAATGAAATGAAATAAAAGGAACACGGCATGTGCAACCTGTCTAGTGATTGAATAAAATAAACAAAGAGTCAGTCTTAACTGTCAATAAATTGCATTCCAGGATTGAAGGGGCAGTCGAATAAGAGGCTTATAAGGATGAAGTGAAACAAAATCAAAAAGAAGTTTCCATGTGGACTGTCTTAAAAGGTCGCGTTTATAATTTATCAACATACATGTAAGTTTCACCCCGGAGGTATGGACAAGATTTATCCTCTTAGAGTTTCAAATTTTTACTTGTTCTTTGATCTTTGACATTCGATAATTTTGTTTGCTGTTACATTGCATATGAAGGAACATTATCTTATTTTGGATGAAATCCTTTTCAGGAGTTGATATGCTCATTCCTTGTGGGTGATTTAAAGATGTATACTCCCTGTATGATTCATACAAAGATCATCATTGGCAATAAAAAAGCACATTTGTAGATGAACTATTGTAATAATTTCCACACATGGTTTTTTATCTCATCTTGAATGGAAGATGCTCAATCTTCTTGCATAACAGAAAGTGATATTGGATATGTCTGTCAAAGAAAACATCAATCATCAAATGGAAAGCTTGATTGAACTTCCACAGCCATTGGAAAGTCATTATCTTTTTTTATTTAGATTTTGAAATAAAAAAGACTTTGTAATAGAAAATTCAATCTCACTCATGTAGCCCTCTTTCCACCGACTCCACTACTAGAGAACACAAAAGATTCCAAACTTTAGACTAAAATAAAAGTAGAGCATGTGCCTCATAAAGGCCAAATATACAAAAGTCGGATCAAGTCATAGTTGCAAAATCCCTATAACATAATAAAAAATGCTTTGGTAATAGTAAATTTAGCTTCAAGAAATTGGGTAAACCCGAACTTGATCAATGACAGGGCCACAAAGGGATCCAAAGCCATCAATCTTAGTGTGGTAGTAAGAGCTATAGAATGTGATTCTTGTCCTGGCTGCAAGTGCTTTGAACTTGAAACCAACAGTCTTGAACAGACCCTTTCCTTGTGACTGGAATGGAGCTTTGAGTGTGTCTTTTGCAGCAAATGCTTCAACCATCATTGATCCATGGCAGCCATTCTTTGCATCTCCAATTGTAAATGTGAGATTATAGACTTTGTTAGGAACTGTTCTTAGAATTTGGGCAATGGCACTTTCTCTACCAGCAACAAGCTCAACTGCTGCAAGTCCAGCGGGTACATTGAAGTGCTTTGAATCAATGAACTTCACAGCTTTAAGTGACTCAATGATCCAGCCAGGGAGTGGAGATGTGAGATCTTCTTGTCTGGGAGGAAGAAGGACTCCATTGGTAGAGTTCATTAACCGGTGAGGACCCTCTTCAAAGCCAGGATTTTTTACCAAATTAACTGCAAATGAATAATGATATACATTAAGCAAACCTTGTATGCTGCACAATGTTTACAGAAGATAATGCCAAATGCTTACAACCCGATTTGCATAAATCTGAAAGATGAACAGAGTGAATGGAAAGATCACAAAGAAAGTGGCAAAATTACCTCTGGTGGGCCTTGGATGATATAGCTCCTTAATAGCAACAGCATCAATAAGTGGACCACAAGCAGGATCCTCTTGAACTCCTGGGTTGTGGAAAATCACTTTAACAGAAGTAGAATTGGCGATAAATCCCCAAGCATAAACATCTCCACCATTACTATCATACAATGTCTGCAAAGGCAGGTCCCCAGATTGAGGAGGCACTGAGACTCTCAAAACCTCATCTTGTGCACAAGTCCTCGATGCACCAAATGTCAATGCATAAAGAGACCCTTTCTTCACCGGTATGGTTTGAGAAATTGCGGCCTCATTCCCAAGCCTCACAGCATGGACTCCATGAGCCACAGGAAAGTACATGCCACCTGGTTGCGGCCCACCAGAGATGTACTCAACAAAGCCACTGATTTCCCACTTGGGCAGTGCATATTTTCCCTTCAGCACAGTCTTGTCAAGGTCAGTCTTTTTTGGTGGCTCCTCAAAGTTTCCATTTTCCAAGTACCCTGATGAAGAAAGAAGCCAACAAAATGAAGATTAAAAGTGAAAACAGTAAAAAGAACCAAAATTTATACAAAAAAACATGAAGCAACAGAACCAAAAGAATAGATCTAAACTACCATAAACCAAAAGGGTATGTTACAATGTTAAACAAAATGCTAACTAAACTTACCTTCAAAGTACTTAGCAGCAAAAGCAGGAGCAGTGAAGAGCAAAATGAAAGCAAGCAGAAGGGAGATAAACGGTTTCATTTTGACAGAGTGAACAAGAGAGAGTTGAGGTGGGTTTGAAGTGGTAGTAGAGAAAATGCAGGTAGAAAAGGATTAGATTTATAGAGCCAAAGAGGGAGAAAGTAAAAGATAATGAGAGAGAAAAAGGTTAGCAGAAATCACGTTAAGGGAGTGACGAAGAACCTCACTTATTTAAGCTTACTCGAGCAACCCCACTGCTGCATTTGTCTCCTTGTCTCTGGTCTCGAAAACCGAGTTTTTCTCCATAATTCATGCAGGGGCACTTCCGTAATTATACTTCGCAATAATTCCATTATTAGACTTTACCCCATTAATTCATAATATTAAATAAAAGAAATATTATGTTTTCTATCTTAAAATGTCAATTTTTGTTATAAATAGCTCAGCAAAAATTGTGTATACTCGCACTACGGAGGGGTCTCGTTCCTGGACTTCAAGTCCAAAACGCGTCTCGTTCATAGACTTCAAGTTCGAAACGCATCCATTGGGTATAAGCATATTTTAACCCGTTTGTTTTATTATCTTCGATAGGATTTTGGGATGGATACTTGAATAGGAGAGTATTATGAGGTAAAATTTAAAAATTTATCAAAAAATTTCCTATGTTTGCTAATTTAACTAAACACCCAAATATATAAAAATTTTATAAAATGACAAAAATACCCCTACCACCCGTAGTGCCAGATTCCGACCACCGCTACCAGAATCTGGCAAAAAAATTGTATTACGATACAGACCGATCGGATCTAGCGGGTAGGGCGTCGATATGGCCTTTTCCGGCCAGATCCGTCTGGCTGTCGACGGCCGCCAAAGTCTATCTTTGGCCATCGCTGAAGGCCAGATCGGTGAATTACCGACCAGTTCTGATCGTGGTGTAAGCCATTGTGATAGATTTCGGCTACCACCGACGGTGGTCGCTGGAATCTAGCAAGTATGGGTTTAGGGGGTGTTTTTATTAATTTTTAAACTTTTTTTTAAGGATATTTAATTAAATTAATAAACTTAAGGGGTCTAAAAGTAATTAAAAAATATACTAATATTTCTCAAATAATGTGTCAAACAATATTTGGGGAATAGGATTGGGAATATAGGTAAAAATAATGTGTCAAACGCACCCTTAATTATTCTCACACAAGATTGATATAGGATTTCAAGAAATTTCTCTAATTATAAAATAAATTCTTATAAAACTTGATGATTTGATAGAAAATTCCAAAAATTTTCCTAAAATTTTATGCACAAATATAGAGGAGACTCTTTGGTATACTACTCAAACAGTCATGAATTTGAATATTTTTTCGGTTGTTAATCAGGATGATTATAAGAATTTTTATTTGAACGATAATTCCAAGGTCTCGAGCGATTAATTAAGACTGTATAAACTAGTTCAGACACTTTCCGTAGAAAAAAAAAAAAAAAAAAAAGATTGAATGTGAAATTAGGGTTTAGGTAAGATGTGTCAAATTGTATTTTGCGCAAGAAATTATGGGCTGACTCTACCAAACCGACACTCCTTTAAATTCCAATGAAGAAATAACTTCAAATTTCTCCAACTTTCCCTCGACTTTTATTCATAATCATGTGACCACTACACACAATTATTGACCATTAATAATACATAATCTTCCTAAATTAATGACCTTCATCGGAGATCTTTTTTTTCCGATTCCAGTTTATGAATCGAAAAAACGATAAACTAGAGATTCGTGAATCAAAGAGAATGAGCTTGCTTGACCTTGGGATGTATGGAAAGTCTGATCAATGATTTAAAGGTGGATCATGTGAATGTGTATGGTGCGTGATGTATGTGCGTATGATGTATCCACATCCATACACAGACAATGGATCTTGCCTATCAACTTTGTTACTACTTTTAATGGAAAAAAATACCATTGATAATGGTTCAATTGGGTCCCTCCATGTGGCCCATTAAGATCCTATTTACCAACATAATTTTATTTATTATTCACTATATAAATCACATCGATAACCTCTTGCCCGCCGGTGCCCGTATAGGTAGGTTGGTCGCAGCAGAAAGGGGATGGATGTCTGAGCAGATTGAAAGAGTCGATCTTGAAAATTGAAGTATTAATATGAATATCGGGGGTTTAAAACCCGCTCCATCCGCATAGTCATAAGTTCTCTCTTGTGTCATTTATTATCTAGAAAAGGACGAATCGGATCGACTCGACTCGACTGATATAATAGTTGGAATGACGAGTTATTGTCCATTTTTCGATTGTTAGGATAACCAAAACTTGTTTTGCGAGAATAAAAACAATTAAAGGCGAGTTTGGTTTAGTATTCTATTAATTTTTTTAATCAGATTTTTAAAATACGCGTTTGACACATTATTTAGAGAGTCAAATTTCGAAAATTTGATTCCTAGCTAATCTAATTTAGGCGACGTTGCAATTTACTTTTTTTTTTTTTTTTTTTTTTTTTTTTTCCTTCTCTCTTTTCTCATTCTTCTTCAGTTATCTATGGCTTCCACCTATATATCACGACTTCCACCTCTTCTTCAAAGATCATAACCACAACCGCCACTCTCTTCCACATTTCTTCTTCAAAAATTACAACAAAAACCTCTCAGTCTTCCAAGTTACAACCACCATAACAACCTCTTTCACCTGCATTCAAAACACACAAACACTTTTTCCGCCCTTAAGACTCAGAAACACCACCATTTTCGGTTTCCCCAACAAATCAGGCAGCAAGTACGACCATGAGACCGGCCACAATCACCCCTCTCCCCCCACAAGAATTCTATCAATAATTCATTTATAAAAAAAATATATTAAACCATTTTTTTACAATTTATTAACCTATATATTATCTTAAATCATTTATCAAACATCAAATCATATTCTCGTAATAATAACCTAATTAATACTCTATCAAAACATTTTTTTCAATTCTATTCTTAAATAAAACCAACTCAACTTTACAAAATATTTTTAAAAATACTACTAAAATAACAAAAAATCATTCAAACTATTTATGAGCAAATATTTACCAGAATTGATAAAGATGGTAGTAGAAGCTTTAATTAATTGATTTAACAAGCAAAAATATAATCAAGCACTATAGTGTTCTAACTACTCAACTTTATTTTCTCACGACTAGATCATGCCTAAAAATTAAAGTAATTTTCCATGTTTAATAATTAAATAAAAATTATTGTTAATACTTATGCCAGACAGAGAGCATGTGCGGGTGGGCCCAAAGTGGGCCCGTTTTGTGGATATCGGGGATTCGGTAACTGAATGGGCAAAATTGTTTTTAGATTGAGGGCCCAGATCCAATCAAGTTATGGGCAGATTTGACTTCTTGGCCAGATGTCCCACTGCGCACGTGCTGGATTCACGTCCTTTTTGGTTAGATAGGATGGTGACTGATGGAATTTGTCTAAATTTACTTATGTTTCCTTTTAAATATGTATGTATTTTTATGTTTTAATTTAAATTTGGAATTAATTGGTTTATGAAAAGATTTGAAAAATCATCCAATTATATCATCTGACTCTTTGTCTGAAAGAGAAGAGTTGGTTTTCAATATACTATGGAGAATGAGGCCTTATTTCGGAGAGAAACTCTCAAGGAGGTGTTAAAAAAAATACAAAAACGAACCAACTAATAATCAAATCTTATTCTCTTTACTCTTCACCCTTTACGCATTTCTCATCTTTTTTTTTTTTTTTTTTTTTTTTATTTCAACACACAAACACAAATTTTAAAATTTAGTTGAGATTCAACCAAGTAAGGTGGGGAACATATTCATATGTAGAGATGGCAATGGGACAATATTTTGGGTGCTGGCCGAAAAGGTCGAGCTTTATACGATGTGCGAGCTTGGGCTTGGGCCTGATTTTAAGGCCCACTTCGGGTACAGGTCGGGCCTAGGTAGTCTTCAGGCCAGGCCGGCCCGGCCCAGCACCCGACAATTTAATATTAATTATACTAAATGCCTTTATACTATATATTTAATACAAGATTATCTATATAATATATACTCATTTTTCCCAAACCCTACATGGATGCATAGATACACCTTGTGGAAAGTTATTTATATATTTGTGAGTATTAAAAAATAAATTAATATTTAAAAATTGTTTCTAGAATTAAAAAAATTGAAAATTATTAATATTTAAAAATTCACATTATAAAAATGAGTAGGCTTGGGCTGAGCCTAAGGTTACAGAAAGCCCGTTGGATCGAGCTTGGACTTTACCTATCATACCCATGACGGGCCCAGACCGGGCTTCGGCTTGGGCCTGGGCCAAAGGGCACCCGGTCTCGGTCCGGCCCATTGCCATCACTATTCATATGAAAGCTGAAAACAAAATTAAACAAAATCAAAATTAAGTTAAAGGGAAAACCAGTTTTTACTAACTGATTAACCGATTTTTCGGCTGATTTTCCTCTCAACTGGTTTGATTTCGGTTAATTTTTTTTCCTAAACTGAATAACCGATTTAGTTAAAAAAAAAGGTTAACCGGTTATGAACACCCCTACTCTCGAGGGAGGTTAAAACAGTCATGTAAATGAGAATGCCTTTCATACGATAAGGAAAGCATAGCTATATGGCATTATATAAGTCTAACTACCCCCGATGGTCGAGTGGTTGGACAAAGACTCTTCGATATATTACTTACTAGGTTTTGAGTTTGAGTCAACTCGGTCCTTAATAGGGATGGCCATTGGATGACATACCCGGTCATTAACTAGAGGATCCAGGGGATTAGTTGAAGTATACTTGGTTGTTAACTTTAGGGTCCCGAGGGATTAATCAAGGTGCGCGCAAGTTGACCCGAATACTCTTGGTCACCAACAGCCCCAATCACCAAAGTCGTTAGCTTCAAGACCACAGAGATTAGTCGAGGTGTGCGCAAGCTAGCCTGAACACCCCTGATCACCCAAAAAAAAAAAACCATGACTATCGAATTTGTACAAGTTCTCTCATGGCATCTCTTATATATATATGAAGTCAAGACCATGATGTAATTATGTCAGAATCATACTTAATCATCATTGGATTTATATATGTAAAATATCATTTTAGTCTAAAGAATGAATTCAACGATATTCAAACACGATCTTAATATGGTCATGACTAGAGAATTTCTGTATATCATTTATTTATTATTTTTCTCCTAATTTTATTAAAAAGAAACTTAAGAAATAATGAAGGTATAATTTACTATCTATACCCCTGTTTGTTCACTCTTTTGAATTATTTTTCTGTTATCCTATTTAGATTAAAAAAATAAAATATATGTTTGTTTACTTATTAAGACCATTATTATGAAAATTAATCTGAATCAAATAAGATTCTTTTTGTCTGAAAATGAAAAGAGGGGAGACTTGTTTTCTATTATCCTATTCTATTCAATTCAAAACATATTTCCAACTCTATTCAAGTGAAAATAATTATCTTTCATTCATGCCAATCTGAAATTTAATTCATCCAAGACCACCATCGCCTACCGTCATGGCCAGAATGACACAGGATCGGTCGATTGAATATGGCTGTTCATGCCCCAATTTGGCTGTTAACGACCAAATTCTAGCCACATCTGGCCGTTAACGGCCCTATTTATCTGATTGTTGACGACTAATAGATTTTGGTTGTTAACGATGACCAAAGATTTGAGGGTTTTCAGCCATAACGATGCACGACCGGTCATATCCAACTGATTGGGTGCTGTTTCGACGACTGTCGGCTATCCTCTTGAGTGGCTGATGTGCTTTAGTTAATTTTTAAACTTTTATTAAAGTGATATTTAACAAATGTAAGAGGTTAAAAAATAACCTAAATGTTTTAAGAAAATGTTTTCTAAAAATAAACCAAACAACTATTCGACATTTCATTTAATTTTAATATAATTTTAAGATATTATACCAAGCACTTTCCGAGAATCTTATCATATTTGATTTAATTTAACCCAACTCAAGTTAAATCACTTTTCCATAATAACATTTTTAAATAATCTACCAAACAGGGGCTTGTAATTTCGAAATTTATATATATTCAATCACAACCGTTTGATGATCCTCTTGTGATACACCGAATTATACCCGTCCATCCTCTTCCCCACACACCCCCACGTGGCTCCCCAAACAAACATTGACCGTAAGATCCACAGAATCCAATCCTAGCCCTCCAATTTCAAATTCCCTCTCAAAATTCAAATTCAAATTCAAATTCTCCCCACTCCACTCTTGAACCTGACCGTTAGCACTTTTCTCTTTATAAATCCTAATTTCATCTCACTCTCTCTGTAAATTTCAATTCAAAGACACCCTCTCTGTGTCTCTCCAAACCCTAACAATTTCAAATTTCAATCACCCCAGAGATTCTAACCAAAAAACCAAGAAAAATTTCTAGAAATCGAACTACAACCTTCCAACAGAACCTTAACCAAAAAACCAAGAAAATTTTCAAGAACTTCGATTAATCACCATGGCGGGAGCGAAGAAACTCCCTTTAACCACCAGCAACAATGCCAACATGGGACCCACGGCCGCCGCGGCCGGCTCGAAAAAGACCATCGAAGAAATGTACCAAAAGAAGTCTCAGCTCGAGCACATCCTGCTGCGACCCGACACCTACATCGGATCCATCGAGAAACACACGCAGATGCTCTGGGTCTACGACGAAGAAGCTAAGACCATGGTCCAGCGTTCGATCTCCTACGTGCCGGGGCTCTACAAGATCTTCGACGAGATCTTGGTTAACGCGGCCGATAACAAACAGCGGGACCCGAAGATGGATTCGCTCAAAGTTGTGATTGACCCAGAGCAGAACTTGATAAGTGTTTATAACAACGGGGATGGGGTTCCGGTGGAGATTCACCAAGAGGAGGGCGTGTACGTGCCAGAGATGATATTTGGCCACTTGCTGACGAGTAGTAACTATGATGATAATGTGAAGAAGACAACCGGAGGAAGAAATGGGTACGGTGCGAAGCTGACGAATATTTTCTCCACGGAGTTTGTTATCGAGACTGTTGATGGGAAGAGGCAGAAGAAGTATAAGCAGGTTTAATTTGATGGAAATTTAATGTTTCTTTGTTTCGTTTGTGCTACTTACATTTTGGGTTTAGAAATTTAATACAAGAATGTGTAATTTATAGAAATGTAATGTTTCTTTGTTGGGTTTTTGCTGTTTTTTAGGGTTTAAGTTGACGGTTTGTAGAGATTAGGGTTTTCTTTCTCAGATTGGGTTTATTTCACGTAGAAGTAGTATAAGCATGTATAATGTAAGAGAAATATAGTTCTTTGTTGGCTTTCTTTATTTCCTTGGGGTTTTGTTTTGTTGATTGAGCTGATTAGTCTGCATTAATTGAAGGTTTTATTATTTGAGTTATGGGCTTGAAGAGTTTTGTTTCATTTGGTTTTCTGAGATTTAGGGATTTTCTGGTTTCATTTTTTATTTGCTTAATTTTCAAAGGATGGTAGCCAGTGTTTTAGGTGTTTTTTGTCAATGGCTTAAGATCAATTCTGAGGCATTTTTGCTTCATTTATTGTTCCACGAGTTTGGTTTGGAGTTTAATTTAATTTATAGTTTCACTACTTTGAATTATATTCTTTAAGTAAATTAGTTGGTTCTGCTGATTTGAAGGTTTTCTCTAGCAACATGGGGAAGAAAGGTGAGCCTACCATTGCCAAATGCAAGGAAAATGACAATTGGACTAAGGTTTCGTTTAAGCCCGACCTAGCGAAGTTTAGCATGACTCATCTTGAAGATGATGTCGTTTCACTGATGAAAAAGCGGGTGGTTGACATGGCTGGTTGTCTTGGAAAGTCTGTGAAAGTTGAACTCAATGGGCGGCGGGTTCCCGTAAAAACATTTGAAGAATATGTTGATCTGTATCCGAAATCTGGTGCAAGGTTATTTCTCTTAACCTTCAGTTAATTAACTGAAATTTTGCATATTTTTCTGTTGAAAGTTGCTTATCTGTTTCATTTATCTGGCCAGGTTTCATGAGAAGGTCAATGATAGGTGGGAGATATGTGTGTGTGTCAGTGAAGGGCAGTTTCAACAGGTATTTAGAGGACTGAATCTAAACTCTTATCAGAGCTGTAATCGTTAGGTGTGAGGCTAACGCTTCTATGTTTTGTTTTCAATAGGTCAGCTTCGTGAATGCGATCTCTACAATCAAGGGTGGCACTCATGTCGACTGTGTTGCCAATCAGATTGCTAACCATGTGATGGCTGTTGTGAATAAGAAGAACAAAAACGCTAACATTAAAGCGCATAATGTGAAGAACCATTTATGGGTTTTTGTCAATGCCCTCATTGACAACCCTGCATTTGATTCCCAAACCAAGGAAACTTTGACGCTTCGCCAGAGCAGTTTTGGGTCAAAATGTGAACTTCGAGAAGAATTTATGAAGAAAGGTTTGTTTGCATAATCTTTTTTGCTCTATAAACTGGTGAAAATGATTACAAATTATACACTTTGAGTTAACTACTGTGTACTAATTATTTTACAGTTACGGCAAAGTCTGGCATTGTAGAAAATCTGCTCTCTTGGGCAAATTTTAAGCAGAGCAAGGATCTTAAGAAAACAGACGGAACGAAGACACAGGATGTACGTGGGATTGTCAAGCTGGAGGATGCTAACTTAGCTGGAGGAAGGAACTCTGATCAGTGTACGTTGATTTTGACAGAAGGAGATTCAGCCAAGGCTCTTGCTGTAAGTTCTCTTGGGTTGCCATGTGGTTTTAACGAGCAATATAACTTCATCTAGTCTTATTTTAAATTTTATTGAGTTCTAACAGAATTAATTTTACAACAGATGGCCGGGCTGTCAGTTGTGGGTCGGGACCGCTACGGTGTTTTCCCACTGAGAGGTAAACTCCTTAACGTGAGGGAAGCCAGCAGTAATCAAGTCACAAATAACAGTGAAATTGGGAATATCAAGAAGATTCTAGGTCTGAAGCAAGGTGTTGAATATGACAATGTGAAGGCTTTGAGATATGGTCATTTGATGATAATGACTGATCAGGTTTTTAGTAGCCCAAATTTCTTACTTTTGTATTGTTTCTATTTTCTCTTTGTTATCCTCAGATAGTTGACCGTCATGTGATTGATTTTTCTTGATTAATTAGATATAAACTCTTCATCTTGATGCATGCTTGCACAGGATCATGATGGTTCACACATCAAAGGGCTATTGATCAATTTCATTCATTCCTTCTGGCCGTCATTGCTAAAGATTCCATCCTTCTTAGTTGAATTTATTACACCAATTGTGAAGGTTGATACCCTTGCTACTAACTATTTGCTCAAGATGACTGAAAATTTTCTTTCTCAAGGAATTGTCTAAGTTTCAGTACTTATTATCTGTGTAGGCAACTCACAAAAATGGAAAAGCACTAGCTTTCTACACCATGCCTGAGTACGAGTCATGGAGGGAAAGCTTGGGGGGAAATGCAAGTGGCTGGTCAATTAAGTATTATAAGGTTTGTCAATTGATTTCATAAGTAAGGAACAATCAAAAGACTGTAATCTGTATTATCAACTTGCTATGCCCTCCTTTGGAAATGTAATTCATGTCCTTATTCTAATAGGGGTTGGGAACAAGCACATCGAAGGAAGGGAAAGAGTACTTCCAAAATATTGATATGCACAAGAAAGATTTTGTTTGGATAGATGAGCAAGATGGGGAAGCGATCGAGCTTGCATTCAGTAAGAAGAAGATAGATGCAAGGAAAAAATGGCTCCTGCAGTTTGAGGTATGAATAAATTTAAGTCAATGTACAAAGTTTTTTTATGTCCAGAAGCACTTGATGGAATCTTATCACTTTCTGGATTTGCAGCCTGGTACTCACCTTGATCAGAAAGAGAAATACATAAAGTACAGCGACTTTGTTAACAAGGAACTTATCTTATTTTCTATGGCGGATCTCCAAAGATCAATTCCATCAATGGTTGATGGCCTCAAGCCAGGTCAAAGGAAGATTCTTTTCTGTTCTTTCAAGAGGAATTTTGTGAAAGAAGCAAAAGTTGCCCAATTTTCTGGTTATGTTTCTGAGCATTCTGCCTACCATCATGGTGAGCAAAGTCTTGCCAGTACCATCCTTGGAATGGCACAAGATTTTGTGGGCAGCAACAACATAAACCTTCTTCAACCTAATGGCCAGTTTGGCACTCGCAACCAGGTGAGAAAAAATTACACGTCACTTAAAATTGAATTAGGCTCGCTAGTTGTTGATGGCTATATTCTGTTTCTCTTATTTTCTACATGCATGCATTTTTTTTCATAGGGAGGCAAAGATGCAGCGAGTGCTAGGTACATTTATACTCGGCTTTCTCCAATTACGCGGTTCCTGTTCCCAAAGGATGATGACAGGCTTCTTGAGTATTTGAATGAAGATGGGCAAACTATTGAACCCACTTGGTAACTTCTGTTTGATACAAAAGAATTGGCTATGCTAATTAAGATTTGTAGACAATATCATACTTAACTAATTTGTTTGTTGTTTAGGTACATGCCAATCATACCCATGGTTCTTGTGAATGGTAGTGAAGGAATTGGGACTGGATGGAGCTCTTACATACCCAATTATAACCCAAGAGAGATTGTTGCAAATTTGAGGCGCTTGTTGAATGGTGAGATGATGGAGCCAATGCATCCTTGGTACAAAGGATTTAGAGGAACTATTGAGAAAACTGCTTCAAAGGAAGCTGGAGTTAGCTACACTGTTACCGGAGTAATAGAAGAAGTTAATGAGACAACACTCAGAATCAAAGAGCTCCCAATTCGTAGATGGACTCAAGATTATAGGGAGTTTTTGGAAACTATAGTAGACCAGGCTGATTCCTTTATTGAGGTAAAATTTAAGGATAATGATAATATGAACCAAATGATGTTTGCATGCATTTCCAACTTCTTTCTTATGGATAAGATATGCTGGGTTGCAGGGGTTCAAGCAATACAGTGATGATACAACAGTTGATTTTGAAGTTTCCTTGTCTGAGGAGAACATGATGCTGGTCAAGCAAGAGGGTTTGCTGAAGAAGTTTAAACTTACCACCACTATTAGCACAAGTAACATGCACCTGTTTGATCCAAAAGGAGCAATTAAGAAATACGACACCCCAGAACAAAGTATGAGTTAGAAATTAACTTGCGTTTTGAGTAAATCTTTACTTTAGTTTAGACTGTCTAATATTCATAACATTAACGCTTTTCAACTTCCATCTGCAGTTCTTGAGGACTTTTTCCACCTAAGGCTTGAGTTCTACGGAAAAAGAAAGGTAAACACATTTGGATCATCAGTAAATATTAGAGATTTGCAAATATTACAGACATTCTTATTGATGATACTATTTAACTTGGAACACTTTTACCATCCATGCAGCAAGTTCTACTGGACACTCTTGAGAAGGGGCTGTTGAAACTGGAAAACAAGGTTAGGTTTATTTTAGGGGTTGTGAAAGGAGAGATCATTGTGAACAACAGGAAGAGAGCTGATCTGTTCCTTGAGTTGCACCAAAAAGGTTTCACACCTATTACAGAGAAATCTAAACGTGTTGAAGCAGTGGTTGCTGGGTCAATCGATGAAACAGAAGATACTGAAGAGATTTCTGAGTCAGGAAGTTCTACTGGAGTACGGGCGAGTGATTACGATTATCTACTTTCCATGGCTATTGGAACCTTGACCCTTGAGAAGGTTCAGGAGTTATTGGCTAATAGGGATAAACTCAATGAGGAAGTTGAAGAATTGAAGAAAGCGACTCCAGAGTTGTTGTGGGTGAAGGACCTTGATGCTCTTGAGGAGCAACTCGATGTATGAACAGAAAATTGAGAATTTTAAAATGATTTGTTATATTTTGAGTTATTGCTGTTTCTTGTCTGATTAGTTGTGTATAATTCAGGAGCTGGATAAAAGTGATGCTCAGGCTGAGGAGGAAAGAAAGAAAATGAAAAGCAAAGCAAAAGGCGAAGCTGGTACAAAGATTGTTTCTAAACGAGCCGCCCCAAAGAACCCACGGAAGAAACCTGACAATGCAAAAGCAATTGCTGAAACCATGGGAGCAACCTCCACCTCTACTTTGGAATCCGGTGAGCCTGCTCTGGAATGTTTCTTCTTTATTATTTGCTGCCTTTTGTTGTTTGATGCAACTTGTCTGAACTTGGGTTACTTCATTTTGCTTTATTAGAGAATGTCACCAAGGTGGGCAAAGCTAAAGGCAGAGCAGGGTCTAAGAAGGCACCTGTTAAGAAGGTCTGTTCAGTTTCCATATTCCATTCTTCCCCTTTGCAGCTTTGTATAACTTACTGATATATTTTCCTCTTTACCAGCTTGATGAAGATGACGATGACGATGAAGATGTGCCTGATTTGAAGAAAAGACTTGCTAAATTGAATGAACAACTAGCTTCAACCAACCTTGAATCTTCTCCCGATCAATCCACTGGTGAGCTTCTTGGATGTGTAAAATGGTTATAATTTTCTGTGTTCTGTCAGATCTGTGATCCGCCCATACTGGCAAGGTTGGGAATAACTTTATTTTACTTTATTTTGTTTCTCAGTCATGGAAACCGATATGGCCCAAGTAGCAGCAGCCAAGAAGAAAGAACCTAGTAAAAGGAACGCTGCCCGGAGGAAGCCACAGAAAATTGTATCTGACACTTCCGAGAGTGAGGATGAAATTGTTATGTTGGATGACGATGATGAAGACTTTGAGGCAGAAGAGATAGCTGCCCCAGAAGCAGGAAAGAAGGGAGGCAGAAAGGCAGCCAAGCCCCCAGCAGCAACAAAGAAGAGAGGGCAAGCGGCCAACAAGCAGCAGCCTCAAGGAGTAGGCCAGAGGCTTTTAACAGAAATGCTGAAGCCTACGGAAGCCTCTCCACAGAAGAAAGTGAGGAAGATGAGGGCATCACCCTTCAACAAGAAAAGTGGCTCCAAGTTGGGCAAGGCAGCAGCTGCTACTCAAGATGAAGAAGCAACAGGAAGTGAAGAAACATCAGGTTCTCCTTCCATATCTGACGACAGTGAGGAAGTTATCGAAGTCGTTCCCGCGAAAGCTAGACCTCAGAGAGCAAACAGGAGGCAGGCAAAGTATGCGGTGAGTGATTCAGAGAGCGAGCCTACCGATGATTCTGACTTCAATGAAGATGAAGATTAGGTGGATTTTTTTTTTATGCTTTCTCACTGAAAAACTGAAATCTGAAGTGGGAAATTGGATCTCATTTCTCGTGTTGTATGTAAAGATTGTTAAATTGCTAACTTTGCAATGTACTTTTCCATTGTGTGTTGAATCAATACCACAATTCTCGTTCATTCGTACAAATAACTCACAAACATGAGGAACATTGTCGGACAAGGATATTATGTCACTCGTATCATTATTCTTACAATCCATAATGTTTTAAATCACCCGTATCATCAATCAATACATTATTTCTACAATTCATAGTGTTTTAAATCAATAACAGTTTGCTAGCAGATTACAGGTCATTCTAAGAATGGGGTTTCCGAGCTAGGAAGAAATAGATTGGTGTGAAAATCTCTTTCCTGAAGTGAGAAGTCAGTAGGTAAATGTGTGTTAGCTTATAACATTATCTTAAATGTGTATATATGAAAAACAAAAACTCACTTTCCACCGGCAACCAACCCTTCTGCAGCTTTCTCAAGAAAATCTTGAACCTTTTGACTTCCCTTTGGGGCTAGTCCCACAAATTCAAGGGCTTTAACCTACAAATTGAGGGGAAAGAAAATACATATTGGTTTTTTTTTTTTATTTTCTAGGATTAACAGAAACAGAAAAGGTAGCATTTCAATAATCTTTACCAGGTTCCTGGTGAAGAAACGGCCAACAGCAGTTGAGTGGAAGTTGCTTAGCGAGAAATGACTTGGATCCAAAGGCAAGTACCAGGGGAGAGGTGAATCAGCAGCAAAATCTTTCTCCCACAACACCTTCAGGAATAAATATAATCGATAAGGTTAAGGTGGAACCGAAAACAAATTATTAAAAAGGTATAAATAAGTAGTCTTGCCTCAAAACCTGCTTGTTTCAGAGCTTCAAGGCATTGTCTAGTCGACCTGATGTCTGGAAGGCCATCACCAATCTCAATTTCTGCCTGCAGTGTCAATCAAACTTCAATATATATATATAATGTAAATCATGACATAGCTAGGTACATAACAATTATCAGGTTTTTTCTTTACTACCTTAATTTTCTGATGTTCTTGATTTTGAGGATCAAAAGAATCAGTGATGCACCATTCAAATGCCGCGAAACATTGGCCAGGCTTTAAGACTCTGTAAATCTCTTTGTAGCACCCATACTGTTCAGAACAGAAAGGAAAGCTCATGTATCATCTTAGTGAAAGACAGTGAAGTTGGATAGAGGATCTTAAAAATTAACATACTGCATCAGGAGCGTGACAGGTAGCTTGAATTGCATATACTGCATCAAAACTATCGTCAGGAAATGGCATTTTCATGAAGTCAGCCTGGCGTTCATAACAGCAACAATCATCAAGTTCATCCACGTATTAGAATTATATATAACTTTTAAGCGTGATAAAATCATTAGCAGAGAACATACTACCAACCTTTACAAAGTTGCAGGTATTGCCCACTTCTGCAACACGGTTCAGTTCCTGTAGAGCAAGAAAATCTTGTAACTTAATCTGCAGGTAAATTTAATTCTTAAAAAGTCCAAAAAAAATGAGTAAGATGTATAGAGAACATAACAAATAGAACCAAATTGTTCCATTAAATAAAACCGAGTCCAAGTTTCGTATCTTGAAAAATCCACAATGAATTAACAATATCATATGCAAGTTCACAGTCACAAGGATCTCTAGTAACAAACATATAACATCTAAGAGAACAAGTAATAGCAGCTGCAAACGCATATTTTATAGAAAGTATGCACCTTTCCTCTTGTTATCTGATATTCATTGTTGTTCAACCCTGTGATTGATGTTGAGCTGCAGAAAATTTACCAATGAAAGCCCTCTTAAAAACAAATATTTTGTTATATGACCCCCCAAAAAATAGCCTGAAGCATAAGTGTCAAATTCACCTGAATCGAGCAATTTCTCTCAATGGTCCACCAATTCCACAACCTATATCCAAAACCTGTTTTGATACCAAAATAAGCTCGTGTTACAATCCAAAGTAGAAATCATAAGTCTCTCTGATCTAGACATAAAAGTATACAACCTTCTGTCCAGGTTTCAGGGCAAGTTGTAAAGCCAGGAAGTGCTGACTTCGCTTGATACTCTCCTGAAAAGATTCTCCTTTCCATCTGAAATATGTAATAAACATTAATGTCATGATCATAACTTGACTTTTTTAGCAGCATCCGCAGAGGCATCCAGTCTCAGTTTGGTATATATATTAAGTACAGGAGAGATTAAAAGGGTTACCTCGGTGCAAAATGGAAAGACTCCCCCCACCCAAACTCATAAAAGCTGGTTACCAGATCATAATATTTATTCACCTGAAATTGCAAAGGACACATTTAAATGTTGTTTTGCAGAAAGGGAACTGATGCCAATTGAATATATCTTACCAGAAACTCAGACACAGAAAGTTAAAGAGACATTCAGTGACAAATGATTCCAATACTTAAAAGTTGGATAATTTAGAAGAAAACGTGTGTTATATTAAGTATTAACAGAGCTTCTCCTACCATGTCATTATAGTTGGCTTTTCTCTCTTCCTCTTCACCTCCATAAAAGACATGATACTTCTCATACCTGCATCATTAAGCTATAACTTTTATCACTTAAAACAGAGATACAACACTTAAACTGCCATTAGTCCAATCTTATATATGGTTCTTCTTTTTAGAAAATGAGACCAAACTAACATTAGTCACATTTTCTTTGGGACAAGAAATCTCATGGGGAGGCGTAGTCTTCAGGCAAAAAACTGAATCTCACTTACAAGAAATTCGATATTACCCTATTTCAAGTTAAATAAACCACTTTTGAAAGTAATATTTAGAAACATGCATAATGTGAAACTTTTCAGTGATGCTTAAAATAAATGGGAAATTTTTGTAGACCTCCCATGCGTTTCAACTATTGCAGTGACCAGACCATCTCCTAGTTTTGAAAATAGGATCTTAACCCCTATTCCATCAATGTATAGTCCATTAATGAAAATATGTTAAATAGCAAAAGGATATTAGTGCCCTTGTTCAGCTTAAAACACCCCTAATCGCGTAGCCATGGTTTGTACAGCAGCCACTAGAGGCCTTAGGGGTCTCATGGTTACTATTTGAGGCCACTAGAGGTTTTGTGACAACAATGAAAGGCCTTCTTATGGCTTTGAAAGGTTTAATCTTTACTGGTGCTGAGACACGATATACCATCTCGTAGTGTTAAGAAAGATTAGATTTGTCCTTTTAAAGTAAGAAACAACTGCACTTAGAGTTGGAAATATCAACTATATCTATTTGTTAGTTAATTTTAATAATAAAAAAAATATTTAATAAAACTAGGGTTAACTGTTAATGTCTTATTTACAAAACCATTGTTTTAAATCCTGGACCGAATAGCCCGGTTCGACCACTCTGATCGAGAACCAGACTCTTGTTTAGTTCGGGTATATCCTAAACTCGGGTCCAAAAAAATAACAAGTTAAAGTCAATCCAAAAATGTCAAATTCAAAAAAGACTATAATTAATAATAATATTTTAAATTAAATATATTTGACAATATATATCCACTATAATTAATTTTAGCAAATTGGATTAAATAATAAGTACATATAAATGTGTAATAATGAAAAAAATTACTATTATTAATTCTATTATCCAATATATCATAAAATGAATACAATAAAATATTGCTTTTTCACATAAAATTAATATGTAATTAAAATAAAATATTATTCATTAATAAAATATGAAAATCTTTTATCTAGTGTATCAAAAAATGCCTATAAACAATCCAAAAGATAAGCAATATGCCTCAAAAAAAATTTCAAAAGCAACCCACACAACGTGCGGGCCTTAAACTAGTTTTTTAATAAAACAGGGGTTAACTGTTAAGATTCTATTTACAAAGCCATTGTTTTAAATCTTGGAGCAAACCACCCGGTTTGACCAGTCTGATCGGGAACCAGACTCTTATTCGGTTTGGATATATCCTCAACTCGATGGAACAATGTCGAATCGTAGGTTCAATCGCGGGATCAGAGAACCGGACTGGTGACATTAGCATGACATAATAAAATTCTATTAAATTTCTAGAATAATTTCATCCAAATCCAAAATTCAAATAACAATATAACATAAACACATATAAAATAAATCAAAAATCCAAACCTAAATATGAAATGATAAATAAAATAAGGGCGAACAACTTGTACATACCCAAAGTTTATTGTAATGACAAAGTTGGTACCCAAAAGGTTTTGAAATGACAAATAGGTACCTTCCGTCATATTCTGTTAGTGATTTTTGTTTATTAATAGTGAAAAGACTAAAATGCCCTTTAATATAGAAAGTATGCACCTTTCCTCTTGTTATCTGATATTCATTGTTGTTCAACCCTGTGATTGATGTTGAGCTGCAGAAAATTTACCAATGAAAGCCCTTTTAAAAACAAATATTTTGTTATATGAACCAAAAAAAAAAAAAAAAAAAAAAGGCTGAAGCATAAATGTCAAATTCACCTGAATCGAGCAATTTCTCTCAATGGTCCACCAATTCCACAACCTATATCCAAAACCTGTTTTGATACCAAAATAAGCTCGTGTCACAATCCAAAGTAGAAATCATAAGTCTCTCTGATCTAGACATAAAAGTATACAACCTTCTGTCCAGGTTTCAGGGCAAGTTGTAAAGCCAGGAAGTGCTGGCTTCTCTTGATACTCTCCTGAAAAGATTCTCCTTTCCATCTGAAATATGTAATAAACATTAATGTCATGATCATAACTTGACTTTTTTAGTAGCATCCGCAGAGGCATCCAGTCTCAGTTTGGTATATATATTAAGTACAGGAGAGATTAAAGGGGTTACCTCGGTGCAAAATGGAAAGACTCCCCCCACCCAAACTCATAAAAGCTGGTTACAAGATCATAATATTTATTCACCTGAAATTGCAAAGGACACATTTAAATGTTGTTTTTCAGAAAGGGAACTGATGCCAATTGAATATATCTTGCCAGAAACTCAGACACAGAAAGTTAAAGAGACATTCAGTGACAAATGATTCCAATACTTTAAAGTCGGATGATTTAGAAGCAAACGTGTGTTATATTAAGTATTAACAGAGCTTCTCCTACCATGTCAGTGTAGTTGGCTTTTCTCTCTTCCTCTTCACCTCCATAAAAGACATGATACTTCTCATACCTGCATCATTAAGCTATAACTTTTATCAATTAAAACAGAGATACAACACTGAAACTGCCATTAGTCCAGTCTTATATATGGTTCTTCTTTTTAGAAAATGAGACCAAACTAACATTAGCCACATTTTCTTTGGGACAAGAAATCTCATGGGGAGGCATAGTCTTCAGGCAAAAAACTGAATCTCACTTACAAGAAATTCGATATTACCCTATTTCAAGTTAAATAAACCACTTTTGAAAGTAATATTTAGAAACATGCATAATGTGAAACTTTTCAGTGATGCTTAAAATAAATGGGAAATTTTTGTAGACCTCCCATGCGTTTCAACTATTGCAGTGACCAGACCATCTCCTAGTTTCGAAAATAGGATCTTAACCCCTATTCCATCAATGTATAGTCCATTAATGAAAATATGTTAAATAGCAAAAGGATATTAGTGCCCTTGTTCAGCTTAAAACACCCCTAATCGCGTAGCCATGGTTTGTACAGCAGCCACTAGAGGCCTTAGGGGTCTCATGGTTACTATTTGAGGCCACTAGAGGTTTTGTGACAACAATGAAAGGCCTTCTTATGGCTTTGAAAGGTTTAATCTTTACTGGTGCTGAGACACGATATACCATCTCGTAGTGTTAAGAAAGATTAGATTTGTCCTTTTAAAGTAAGAAACAACTGCACTTAGAGTTGGAAATATCAACTATATCTATTTGTTAGTTAATTTTAATAAAAAAATATTTAATAAAACGAGGGTTGACTGTTAAGATCTTATTTACAAAACCATTGTTTTAAATCTTATACCAAATCGCCCGGTTCGACCATTTTGATCGAGAACCAGACTCTTATTCAGTTCGAGTATATCCTAAACCCGGCCCAACAACTGAAAGAGCAGTAACTATCTGGTTCAAAAAAATAACAAGTTAAATTTAATCCAAAAATGTCCAATAAAAAAAAAAATAATTAATAATAACATTTTAAATTAAATATATTTGACATATATATCCACTATAATTAATTTTAGCAAATCGGATTAAATAATAAGTATATACAAATGTGTAATAATGAAAAAAATTACTATTATTAATTCTATTATCCAATATATCATAAAATAAATTCAATAAAATATTTCTTTTTCACATAAAATTAATATGCAATAAAATAAAATATTATTCATTAATAAAATATAAAAATCTTTATCAAAAAATATCTGTAATAAAATATTGCTTTTTCACATAAAATTCATTAGTAAATAAACAATCCAAAAGATAAACAATATGTCCAAAAAAAATTTCAAAAGCAACCCACACAACGCCGCGGGCCCTTAAACTAGTTTTTTAATAAAACAAGGGTTAATTGTTAAAGTTCTATTTACAAAACCATTGTTTTAAATCTTGGAGCAAACCACTCGGTTTGATCAGTTTGATCGGGAATCAGACTATTATTCAGTTCGGGTATATCCTAAACCCAGTTATAAGAGGTGGACCAGATTGACCCAAGGTTGAATTGATAGAATAATGTCGAATCGTAGATTCAAACGTCAGGTCAGAGAACCAGACTTGTGACATTAGCATGACATAATAAAATTTATAAAATTCTATTAAATTTCCAAAATAATTTTATCCAAATCCAAAATCCAAATAACAATATAACATAAACACATATAAAATAAATCAAAAATCCACACCTAAATATAAAATGATTAATAAAATAAATCCAAAATCCAAATCCAAATCCAAATAACAATATGTCATGCTAACGTTACCGGGGTTTATAAAAATTTCCCAAAATAAACAAAAGAAGATTTAAAAGCGCGAGAGCTTGATTCGAAAAAGGAAGATGTACTTTTCGACGGCAGAGAAAACTTGGGTTTTGTCAATGGTTCCACCGAGACCGGAAGCCAGATTCAACGCACCAACTTTCGACATTGTTTATTCAGGTTCCGATCTGAAAATGAAAACAAAACGATAGCAATAGAATCAGAAGCAGGACCATTTTGAAAACAAGTGAAGGGATCTTGCGTGAAACGTTACATAAAAAGTGGTGAAGTTGAGAGCCGGCGCCAGAACAATCGAAAGACAGAGTGAGCCTCTGGGTTGAGAGAAACAATTACAATTACAAATGATATATACAGAGTTCAAGTATCTTTGAAAAAAAGAAATACAGATAAGCAAATTATAATTTAAGGCAGTTAAAATCTTATAGGGGTCATTACACGTTACGCAATGATAAAAAAATCTCTTGAATCCTTAAAATAGAAGCAGCAGCAGCCTCAGGGAGTAGGGCAGAAGCTCTTAACAGAAATGTAGAAGCCTCCGGAAAGCTCTCCAGAGAAGAAAGTGAAGAAGAAGATGCGGAGCGGGCATCACTATCCAACAAGAAAAGTGGTTCCAAATTGGGCAAGACGACGAAGAAGCAATAGGAAAATTTGCTGAGTGATTCTGTCTTCAATGAAGGTGAAGATTAATTGAAGTGCTCAAAATTTACATTTATATATAAAGAATGGATTTTTTCCCTTATTGGTATCAGAACCATACGAGTTTGCTTCCTTGATCACTTGATCCCCTAGTACCAGGTATACCTAAGAATAATTGTAGGTAAGCTCACATACTCCGGTATATTGGCCGGAAACCCGAGAGTGCAGACCTATTGGGTATAAGATGAAATTTCATGTCCTCTCTGGTATAACTTCGCTGTGCCTAAACCACAGCAAGGTACTGTATGCAGTTTTGTTCCCAAAAGTTAAAAAGGGTCTTGAGGTTGAAATCAAAATCATGGGCACAATACTTGTGAAGCTTTCCAAATGGGAGATATTTATATCATAAAGAGATGTTGAGGTGTCTGTACAGATTTTGGTTAGCAGCACATGAAGGAATGGAAATAAAACTACTACATTGAAAGATACACCTACAAATCAAACCTACAGCATATTCAACAACTTAAAAATACAAGTTTCTGCACTCTGGCAAAATCAATCACATGGCAAGGTTTCGTCTTGTAGCTTCCATTTTCAGTAAAAGATCTTTAATATCAGCTTCCATCCTCATTTTCATATTAAAATACTCCCTGTGTGCTCTTTCAAGAGCCTGGAATTCTTCATATTTTTGTTTACGCATTTCCTCTGCCTCGACAAACCGCAATTTTGTGATTCTACTCGAATACTCTTCTTCAATTTTTTCATTCTTTGCAATTGCAATTCGTTTCAAGCCCTCAGCTTCTCTTCTTGCATCATCAGCACGTGCTTGGAACATTTTAGCTTCTGCCTGTTTGATTCTTACAATGCTCTCCAGTTCATCAAAAAGAGGCTCCTTTTGAGAACTTTTATGCAAATCTAACTCCAAAGCTCGCTTATCATTCCGGTCAACATGAAAACTAGGAAGTAGGCTTGCTGAACTTTCCATTTGAGGAGCTTTATCTGAATAAACAGATTTGAGCCATGTGTTGTCATGGCTAGACGCAGCAATCCCATTGCTTACTTTCACTCGTTCCTTCTCCGAGAAAAGAGTGTTGGCAAACTTCGAAGATTCACTATCTGCAATCACAATTGAAAAAGTAAATAGGAAATTTGTAGTCTAGGGGTCAAACTGAAGAGCCATATGAAAAAAAGAAAACACATGCTTAATGTAAAACAGCAAAAGTCGGCATCATCACACTATTGTTTCATTTTCCAAGTAGCCAATAAGTCCTCATATAAATGTTTATCATTCTTAAAATTTTCCCATGCTAAATTTCCGAAACCAGAGCTTCACCAACCTTCCGATCATTTATGCAAGAAAAGACACAGTCTGAACTCCCAGCAAAATTTCATACGGTGCATCAGAGATGACACCAAAGTCAAATCTACACACTTGCAGATCCAGTCATTCGACAATCCAGTTTTTGTTTTGAGGTTTGAATTATATATCTTACTCATTTAAAAACATTAACTTACTGCTTTGAATGATCAGCAAAATTAGAAGTTATGGACTGACACTGGAACATGTAAATAAGCACACTGAAAGGCTTTTCATTTTATTTTGTTGATTATAAGTTCAATCTCCACAAGAATGTCAAGTGTTCATCTATGATTGATGAGGAAATATCTGAATTACTCAAATGAAAGAATATCCCCTATACTTTCCATACTAGACAATGTAACTTAAAGTAAAAGCATGAGAGGCCTAAATTTTCCAAGAATGATACAGAAAATACTTCAATAAAATGCACAGGTGAATAAGCAAAACTTACCAGTCAGGAAACCCACGACATAACTGTAAACCTCTGGAAGTTCAGATTTGTTTGAAAGTCTCACCAGCATCTGATCAGCAATTTCATGAAGCCGTTTCCCTCTAATATCCTTGCTGGCAGAAAAAATTCTCTTCACATATTCAAGTTCCCTGGACATTGTTTCAGCTGACCATTCCCTTGCGAAATTTTGGAAAACCTCCTTCACAAAACCAAACATTTCTGAAGGATGATCACAAGCAACACAATGGAACTGCATTTCAGTTCCTTGAGCCCCAGTGGGGCTACGCCCATTTCTGATGAAAGATTCCCGTAAACCACAATCCGCATGGCACCAATGAAGACAAACATCACATCCCACCCAACTACATGTATTAGATGCCATGTCAAATTTCGAGCAAACAAGACACATACATGAGCTGCAAAAACCATTCTTCTTTGCACAAACTTTGCAATCACAGTCATCCACAGGCAAAGGATTCTGGCATGTAAGATTTCTGCATCTAAGGTTTAGAAAAATTTCAGCCAAATCAGTTGAAGAAATACCATTATTGAGAAGATATTCTGGTAGTCCAGTTTTCAAAGCAACCAAAATTTCTAGTTGAGCCCGATGAGATTTTAATAGCACTTCAGGGTTTATGTCAGATCTGCTGCGTAAAGCATTCTGAAAAGCACGTAATTGAGCCTTCTTATCTGCATTTAACATGATCTCTCGGATGCTATCCTTAACCAAAGCTATGGATTGTGCAGTCATATCATGAAATTTCCTAGCCATTACATGAAAAGGATCTGATACTATCCTCCCCATGATTGTCTCGACAAAATCAACTCCACCTATCAGAAGTTCCTGCTCTTTCTGGCTACCACTCCTATATAAGCTACCACCACTGTGTTTCTCTCTCATAGCTCGCTTCTTCTCAAAACTATAACTTGAACCCATTTCATGTGATCCAACACTGTTGGAAGGGGAACGGACATCATTCTGTTTATGGAAACTCAACTGCCTTTCCAGTCCATTGGGCATTTTAGTGCTTCCTTCTGAACCCCTAACATGTTGTACTTGTTCAAGTTGACCATTTGGAATACCTTGAGACTGATGGATTGAGCCATTTCCATTCATCAAAATCCTTTGAAACAATGGAATTTCTTTATGCTTACTGGATTCATTCTGAGATTGTCCCTGCCAAGCTCCTTGAGAAACCTGATCAATTCCCTGAAATATTGGGCGGCTATGAACTGATTGTTCAAAGTTGTCCATAGAATTCTGCGTTAATGAACAGCTTGGATTATGAAAAAATGACTGAGAGCCAGAAAAAGACATTGATGCAGTAAACCCATCAGAGTTTGTACGAAATGTGTTTAAGGATTGAATACTCCTCCCCTGGCTAGGAGAACCAGGGGCTTCAGTTGTATCTCGAGCACCAATTGGTAGCAAGACATTTGGTAAACTTAGAGAAAGATCAAGTGGTTCCAGAGCCAGATTTTCATCTCTGACCTTGTTATTGAAGCACTGTTCTCCTTTCTCCTCTGCTTTTCTAACAGGAGAGCTAGTAAACAAATCAAAGCCCCTATTACTTGGTCCTTCCATATCATCAGACTTCCATGCTGCAGCAACTCTTGATTCCCTTTCAATCCATACACCATTTTCTGCAGAATCAGCATCGTGAGTTGGTGTGACAGCCACACTTTTGCCTTTGTCCTTGAAACTCTGGTTCAGCGCCTCAATTTCCATATGAGAATTTACATCATCTCCTCCATTTTCCTCCACAATTTGCTCCTTATAGGACTGAGGCACTTCAATCACCTCCTCTGCTTTTACCTCAAGATCAATGCCCTTCTCTTCCTTCCTTCCCTCTTCTAAACCTGTAGACTTCTCAACAACCAAATCATTGGTTGCTTCCTCCTTACAGTCATCACCCTTACCCAAACACTCTTCCTTCTCCTCACCCTCACCCTCTTCCTCTTCCTCTAACTCTTCCTTCTCCTTCTCAACCTCATCAGCATCCAATTTACCATTTTCATCACCACTTCCAACAATCAAGTTCTCACTATCCGCCGACTCACTAACTTCCAATAAATCATCTTTTTTATCCCCACCTATACTTCCTTTATTTCCCTTTTGCTCTGCTTCCTCCAAGACATTTTCTCCATCCTCAACATTCTTATTTTCATTATCAGCCCCAGTACTATTGTCTTTTGCTTCATTTTTATTTTCAACCTCTGCAGGGACCGTATCCTGCACACGTTCACGCTCAACATCAGGCTCAAGCTCACCTTCCTCCATCTCACTACTACTACCACCACCCTCAATTTTAACCTCCTCACTCTTCTTCACCACCTCCAAATTCTTAGATTGCTCACTCCCCACCGAATCCTTCGACCAAGTTGGCGATGATCTTGACTTGGACTTTGACTTGGACTTTGAGTCCCCCAATCCTCTCGCCCTTGATTGCTCACTCCCCGAATCCCTTGACCAACTTGGCGACTTGATTACATCCCTCAATCCCTTCCCACTCCCTACTCTATCGTCCCTACTACCGCCTCTATTACTGTCCTCAAATTCCTTATTGCCACCTCCAAAATCCTTTCTTTCACTCCCAAATTCTTTACAGCCACTCACAAACCTTCGCCAGGATGACACCGACCCCTCCCTCCGAGAACGGTCTCTCTCAGACCGAAACCCTTTCGGGAATTCTCTTCTGGGCCCACAAAAACTCTCTGATCTATGAATTGTTCTATCGTTACCACCACTACTGTATCTATCAAACCCAACTTTTCTCCTATCAAAAGATTCAAAATCATGATCTGATCTTTTCCGTACATTCCGATTATCATCATCTAAAGATCGATCACGATCATACCTCGACAACGATGACGAGGTAGAAACCAAACCCTTACGTACATTATCAGACTTGTAATAAAAACTACGATGCGAAGAAGTTGAAGAACGATTAGGGTTAGGGTTTGACGAGTCCTTACTTGCGTTCTTCTCGCCGTACGAATCCAGATCGTCGCTTGATCTCAATCTCTTCATCTCCTGAACAACAATAAAAACAAGAACAACAACAACAATACAAAAATCTTCAACAACAACAACAATAAGAAGTATTGGAATTTGGCTTGGTCTTGGGGTTCGAATTAGAAATAGAAACCCTAGTTTTTTTGCCCCAAACTCATTATAAAATTACAAACATTTTGAATAATGACATGACGAAAGAAAAGATGGAAATGGACGGCAGAAAAAGGGGCAGATGGGAAACGGGAGACGGTGGTGATTGAGCTAAGAGAGAGGGACAGATTTATGGATTTGGGTGCGGTCAAAAGAGAGTAATAATAAAATCAAAGAGGGGGTTTTATGAAGCGAAGAGTCAAACACTTGGTTTAAAGAATACAAGAAAGATGTTTGTACACGCAATGTCAGTACTGTTGTGGGTTACGACTTTCGGCATGAGTAAAATCCTTTCAATACTCCAAGGTTCCAATCCTCTACATTTTTAGTCCACCGTTATTCTTGCAACCTTCTACGTGGCATCATATGATTGAATGATACTCGGTACAGTGTCGCACCCTAGTATATATTTTCTCGATTTAAATAAGGTTCTGGGATTGGCCATCTGCGACAGCCTGTACCTACTTCGCGGCTTATGTAAAGTAAGATAAAATCGCGATCCTAGCCGAACACGTGTCGGATTAAAGATTTTCTCATCAGATCAGAGCGAGTTGTTGAAGTTGGGTACGTGACTGACACAACTGACAGAAATAGAGAGAGACTGTTTGACTCGTTGTGAGACTTTTGACGTCAGATCTAGTGGCCTTCTTTTGACTCTTAAGTTTAAATCACAGCCGTTGGATTTTATTAAGGTGGGGTCTGAGGATTTTTTATTCTATTGGAAAAGTGTAGTACACGTGTAAGCTGTCTTGATCGATGTATTGTAAGAAAATTTTACGAGTCAAGGCAAAATGATTTCACATGTCTTGTCAAAAGAGAATATATACAAATGATATACTGTATAATTTCTCACCCTATACGCTGTCGTTTTTGCAGGAATCAAACATGGCCAAATGACATACGCAAAAAAGGGCTGGTCTTATCCAAACCAGGTAAAATTTAGCTTCTTCATTCAAGATATTTTCTTGCAATATCTGATGGTGAAAGCTATAGATTGGTCGTCTTCATCATCATCTTCTTCTTCTTCTTCTCCATAATGTAGTAATATCAAAACATTGTATCCGTCTTTTTTTTTTTTCTTTTTTTTTTTTTTTGCTTTCAGAATTCAATGGCTGCTGCTCTATCATCAGTTGCTCATTCTTTTCTTAACAAAATCGGTTCAACTCAAGAGCTGAGGAGCAGAGGTTGTCCAAGATTGTTTTTCCTTCTAGCTTGTCAAAGCCGTGAGCCGATGGAGACATCTAGGAGTACAGAGAAGAAGAAAGAGAAGAAGGAGAAGAATTATAAGCTACTGTTTTCACAACTTCTCATTGGAGCTGAGAAGTTTGGGAAGGGTTTGAAGGAGAATTTGAGCCCACAACAGAAGGGTGACTGGAAAGACTTGGTTTTGATGAGTTTATCGTTTGCTGTTTATGTGTATATGTCTCAGAGGATTGTTTGTGCTTACTGTGCTTGGATGTCCATGCCGAAACAGTCATGGTAGCTTGTCATTTTCCCCTGATTACAGTGGATGAGAATCTAGTTCGTGACAACTAGATCCACAATAAAAAATATATACATATCCAATTGGGATAATATATATACTCGATTGGATCTGAAGTGTTACACTTCAATTAACACCTCTGTGTTTGTCTATGATATTCAGATGGGTTCTGATAAGATATTTTTTATATTACTTTTTCTATTTTTAATTTGTCTTCCAATTTGATTTCTGGGTTCTTTTGCTGTAAGGAAATTCTACCCCAACAAGCAAGAAAAGAATTAGCTCTATATTGTAATATAAGCTTCTGTTAGTTTACTTTGGCTGATTCTATAGGCTACAATGCTATTGGTTTTACATATTTGAGATTGACATTTCTGATACTCTGCTTTATTTGTGCATAATGCTTTTTCCATGCAGATTCAATTGATGAAAAGAGTAAAGAGAAATTAGACATTAAATTATCAAGTGAACAGCCATTGATCTTAAAAGCTGAAGAAGGAATCATCAAATCAAGCATGAAATTTTATTCACATCTTATCCATGAGCAATATGACTATCAGAAAAAACTTACACTAACCCAAGTTCAGCACGTAACATTCAAGTTTCAACAACAAAGGTCATTGATAAGTCTGAAAACATTATTCAAAATTACTGGAGTTGTATCAATTTTCTTCCCATATTTATTTGTTCAGACCTCACATCAATCAGCTTTGACTCTCTCACGTCTAAAGAGACGATAAAGTAATGACAATAGCCATTGCCAAAAGATGATTAACCAATTAGTGCTCTTCAGTTTAGGTTCTGGTCGAGGTCCAAAAATTCCTTTATAGATCTCCTTTTGCTTCTCATAAAGAGCCTTGTCATGTTCAGCCATCATACGAAGCTCTTTTGCAATTGCTTTGTCTTCAGGTGCAAATTTACATGCCTTTAGAAAGTCTTCCCGTGCAGCTTCTGTTTGGCCAAGTTCTGCTCTAGATTTTCCCCTTCTAAAAAGGGCTTTCACATTGTTTTCATCCTCAGCTAACACCTGTAAATTCATCATCCGATCAAAGTAAAAGTCAATGTTCAACATATTCATCATACAAATCCCCCAATTGAAGTATATAAATGAGAGTATGAATGTTGTAAAGAGAGTATCATAGTGGTTTTGGAAAATGTTGGAGCCATAATGATGCAATATACAATAGATATGATAGCTGAACTTCGGTGAGTATAATCAGTAGAAAGTAGTTAGAATTTTACTTAAGCATAACAAGGTGACTCGATGTGAATTGTGATTCACAACATATCCTGAAGGACAAAAATGCAACTTAAAGCTACTAAGCATAGCCTTTCAGCTCCAGAGTCTCGACCAATAAGTTTGATATAACAGGTTTCTATGAACTAAGAGGTCCAGGCTGTTTTATATCGCCAATAGGTTCAAAAGCATGTGAATATATGAATGGAAGAAACTTAATTTCAACCTCAGAACATACAGGGAAAGAAAGGAAGATGTTGCACGAAGTAAGCGAATTTCCAGCACTTTTCTTTCTTTTCCTCATTCTTCATGAGAATCAAATTGAACCTAAAAGTAATGATGCATAAACTGCCATGCCATCAAACAACAATACTTCCATCAATGGGTACTCTCCAATTATTTATGCAGGCAAAACATTTTTGTTCAAAATGGTCAACCACGAGATCAATCATTCTTCATAGGGTCAGTGCATAGCGAAGTCAAACCCATTTAACTGGTTTAAATAAACCAAGTGAGCTTCAATTATGTTTAAGCCTTAATTTTCTAATAACCTTTTCTGGTTCCTTTAGTAAGTTCAGTTCTGCTCTCTTCAGAGTCTAGTTGATAGATTTAATAAGTAATGGATGTGCAAGCAGCTCTATCTGTTCCTTTGGTTCTAATAATATGTTAATTTACTAATAAAAAAAGCACCTTTCAATACTCAGAATCTAAAATTTTAAACAATATAATAGCACTTAAAACGTAAAAATTGATTCACCCATAACCATTTTACTTACAAGACTGCATTGCCCAATGGCTTCTTCATAGCGCTTGAGCTTTATCAGACATGCTGCCATATTAAGATGGCATGGATTTTTAACAGCCAAAGCCATGTCTTGGTACTTCCCAAACAACTGAAACATGAAATCATCACCCATATATGCTATGGCCTGACATGAACAAAAGTCATCCTTTCAGAAGAGGAAAAGAAATAGAGGAAGATAAGAACAAAGCTCAAAGAATCTGCAGAAACTCAATTATGAGACTAAATAATAGGCAGCGAGAATATGAGAATGTAACCATTTCATACTGTTGCATGGCCTCTTCCCATTTCTCCTCCTTAAACAAGGCATTGCCATCCATCTTTCTTCGATCTGCAGCACCAATCCTTTCCTCCACAGTCATATCACTACGAGCTTTACCCTACACGAAATATGTAGCCAATAAATACATGTTCATAGCATCCTACAGAGATCAACCGCATAAAATTTCAACAAAACTGTCAGACTAGCCATATACAATGACAGAAGAAGCCATTTAGGCTCAACTTACTTCTCTGGTTTCGTCAAACCCAATAAGGACAACTTCATATACTATGTCTGCCATGGGAGGAACATTAGGGAAAGAGAAGCTTCCTTCTTTCCCATAACCAAGTTCCCAGCCAACGTGTAACAGGGCATGTTCACCTGACTTCATGCTGGACACACCAATAGCCAAGCCGGTCATTTCTTTTTTCTCTGTTGCAGAAGTAAAACTATCAGTATTTTATAACATGAGCAAAAATACGTCATACACAGAAAACTACTAGATTTCTCCATACAACTTTTATTTTATACGTAAATACATACATCTAATTGTGTGCAAAACCATGCATCTAAATTCCCCAACAAATGTCAGCCCGAAAATTGTTGGTCCATTAAGAATCTCATGATGTTTTGATACAGATTTAATCAAAATCACATCACAAGTGCCAGATAGATTAAAACCAAGTTTAAAACTAAAATAAAGTATTCCACTAACAGCGCAAAAAAATGGTAAAAAGTAAAAGCAAAATATCTCAGAAAATCGAAATTAAGGAGCTATCTACCTTTCCCTATAATCAATTCAAGAGGCTGTTGTTCATGCCATGTGTCCTCAAACTTGTGTTGGGTGCTTTCGGTCCAAGCCCTGTAGTTCACTATCAGCAAATAAAGCAATAATTCAGATGTATGCAATACATTACAAAAAAAGGTAAAACCAACAGCAAACCTCTTTGATATATCAAACAACAATGTCCACTTACCAAAGCATGTTGAATATTTGGAAGGCTTTTGACCTTGACCTTCCTTAATAATCTGTTTAGTTACTTTATCATGAAGCACTTCCACTTTAGAATCCACAATTGGAGGACAACTGCCATCTTGAGGAGCTACACTCTGTGCAAACCCAACACTCTCAGTGACTATTTCACCCTCATCTTCTTGTCCTACAAAACACACCAGAGATTAGACCTACATAAGTTTCAAAATATCCCATTAAAATCACAAAATTCTGCATACGACAACTTTAAAGATCATAAATTGATAGCCTTAGAACAAGTAATTCACAATTTTTTTCTAAATGGGCAAGCGAAAATTTTAAAATTACACAAAATTGAATCTTTAAACATGTAAAACGAAGATAAAGGAAGGTAAATTCACCAAGGGGTTGACTTTTCTGCTGCTCCTGAACATCCTCCATTGAGACAAGATCTGCAGACTGTTGATTAAACTGAAATGTAACGTATGATTCGTTATGCTTTGTAGAGAACGAAGAAGATTCCAGAGAGAGATTGGCTGCAGGGTGCTGATGTTTGTTTGATCAAAGATGGGTATAGGTATAATGACTAAAATGTACCCGAAGTAATTATTGTAAGACCAATAGCTTATTGCCGGAACTTTGGGATTATAGTGTAATTAATTAAACTTTGGGGGTTTAGAAATATTTATTTGGTTAACGCCATTTATTTATAACGTTTTCAGTTTAATCCTTTTTCAGATATTAGTTTCTGATTTAATTTTGGATGTTTGAATAGAAAGAAAAAGAAGGAAAATAGCGAAAATATGACAAGGAGAGAGCTTAATGAATCAGGATGATGAATAGTGTCGATGTTGTCAAAATGCAATGAAGTTTGATAGGGCATTCCAAAACGGCCAAACGAAGAAAACTCATAACGAAATCATGAGTGTCATCATTTTTTAGTCTTTCGGGTCGTTTTGAGGGGTTTTTGGACCTTTTTAGGGTTTTTGGACCTATTTGGGTTTTTACTTTTTAGGGTTGTTTTTGTGAGTTTATGGATGTTTGGATACTTTTTATTATTATTTTATTTTAATGAATTATTGAAAACCCTAGAGGATATTTCATACTATCCCATATCCAAATTTTGATACAATTTCATGGTGGTTTATCGTATCTTTATTTCTTATGTTTAGTCATCCGTTGATTGTTTCGGCATCACAAGAAATTTATTAAAAAAACCGCGGTTTACTCCAGGTTTCTCGAAGATTATAGGGTTCGAGGGATGCTCTAATTTCAAACTCACTTGATGCAAGCCCATTAAGATTAAACAAGAAATACTGTAGTATATGCTTGATAATAGGAATATAAAAATTATGTTGTTACAAACAAAAATCTCCTTCTCATATTGAAACTAAGCTAATTAATACTTCTCATATGGATGTTCTACATGAAAATATTGAACAATTTCTTGAATATTATTTCCTAATTTACAGACAATTTTCAACTTTACAATCTGCTGTTCTACCAAAACCTGTGTCTATTTAAGCTAACTCACTTCACAGCAAGGATGGTGTACTGAACCTAAACACAAACCCATAATTAAAGAAGGGTCTGTTAAGAACATCCCTTCAAAGAATTAGAGGGGAAAATCTCAATCCTAAATGGCTTCAACAACCGGCAGCCTTTAGGAAATTATCGAACGGATTCGATGGTGGTAACTGGAAGTATTGAGGTTCCTGCTGGTACTCAATTGCACAAGGCATTGGAAGAGAAGTAGCAGATTGATTTTCCGAACTTGCATTGATGTTTTCCTCAAGGAATGGATTTCCACCCTGCAGTTTGAGATAGTTTCAAAGATTCGATCAGTTTGCAGGCGATGCCAAGCTGCTAATTTCGGATTCTATGCAGATAAAGATATGCGTATGCAGGCAGTGTGCATTTCTGACATATTTTTGGGAAAGTAAAAGTTTTGATGAAGAAGTGTATGGTTTATGCAAGTACCTTGAAACAGATTCTCTCGACACTGGAGGACGACTGCGTGTCCTCTGCCTTGTTCTCAGGGGAAGAAATGCTAACTGAAGCATTTTGATTCTGATTGAAACTCATGAAATTTGACCCCTTCCGCTGCTTTTCTGCTATTTCATTGTAAGGTGTGTTGGTTGAGTTTGAGTCTAAGCATCCCTCTTGAGATGTCGCCTCTGAAACCTGTGCACATCGTCTTATTTATCAGGAATTTGATTCGGTTTAAGTTAGCAGATATATCAATGTCAATGAAATAACTTACACCATTTAAAAGTTTATCAACACCTTGGAGACTTGTTTCCTGAGCTAACGGTGTATCAGAATCTGGTTGAGTTTCGAATGTACTGGGGACAACATCATTATCTGGTGCGAGTGGAGGCTCAGCCTGCACATTCATGATATTATGTTGATGAATGCAGAATAATAAAGCAAAAAAACAGGATTAAGCAGAACAATGTGTCACCTCATAAGATCCAAAATAGTAGACCTGTCCTAGTGATTCCATGAATAACTGAGCTCCCAATGGGCACGCGTCATTAGGAATAAAATTATGAGCCAATTTCTCTCTTATACTCGATGAATCTTGCTGAAAAAGGGTTTCAGATGTCATTGTTGTCATCTTATTATGAGCAAAAGTACTAGTTTGAAGCATGATAATGCAATGAAGGTTACCTTTGACAATCTGGCAATGGACTCAGCTATCAGACTTGTGAAAAATTCTTCAGATAGATTCTCTATTGTTACATTTTCAATTGCTGAAAGGGACTTAAGAGCATCTTCATTATCTTCTTCTGAACCGTAAACTTTGCTTGGACGGTCTACGCTGGCATTAACAGCCTGTAACTTGCAATCACCAACTAGCTGTAAAAATGGATCTTCCTGATACAAAGTCATGAGAGTGTAAAGTTAGTAGGAAGTAAGCTCAACCTCAGAAAGAACAGATTTCCTGAAACAAAGCAACAATGCACCAACCGTTTTATATGAAAGTGCAGTTTTCGCACAAAATACAAGAGGACTGATGTTGTATGATTTCGAGGCGAAAATAATCATACACATGGCCAGAGTAAAGAGGGATCTACGTCGTGATGGCTGCAGTGGCCCTGTAACAAGTGTGACAGCTTCATCAGTTGAAGAAATATTTCTCAAGTAAAATGCCAGAACGAAATCCATTAATTTACAGACGACAATAATTTGTAAACAGTTTCAGACTTGGGGCCATACCTTCTTCTGCAAGTGAAAAGCTCCATAAGGATAATGCCAACTGATAACTTTGAATCAGAATATCATGACGAGAGTTCTACATGACGCAGTCAAGAACAAGAAAATAAGCAAATGAAACAGAGAAGGTCTCATCAAAATGAAAATTTTGATTTTTACAGTCTTCCAAATATTAATTCATGAAGACAACAATCAGCTGTGAATGAGAGAAGTACCTTGCTTCGTGCAAGCAGCAATACCAAGCTGTAAGTATGCGCAATTGCTACATAGTTTTCAGGCATATTCAAAGGAGAGATGGATTGTGCCCAAATTGATGAGAGTAGGAGGTCAATCTGCTGACTGCTCAACCAGAGGGGTGATATCTACCACAGTTTAATGAGCAGAAAATTAGTCTTAATAGACTATAACAAAGCAGTTCATATATACAATTCTTGAATGTTAAAGCGTTGATACATACTGATTCTTGTGCTAAACTACTTGCATTTTGTTCAACTTGTGTTGCAGGTGATGGATGCCGTTTGGGGCTATATGATTGATTGCGAGTTGACGTCAGTCTGTGAATGGAATGAATTTTCATGTTTGCACCATCAAATTCTATAGTTCCATTTGCAGCTACAGCTGATGGATTTCTTTTAATACTGTAAACTCGGCTTTTAGTTGACTTCAATTTATTTAGTATGGACTGATATTTGGCCTTTGCATCTTCACTATTGTCATTCTCAAGGGAGAAATGCTCCTCTGTCAACTTCTCAAAGAGTATAGCTGAAGAAGAAAACACGGATACAGTTCTCAAGGGTGTCCTTCGAACATCAGCAGCCTTTCTTGAAGTGGCACTAGGACTAGGGGAAATGGATGATGGGATAAGAACAACAGAAAATATACTGTGTGCCCCAATTCTGGTTTCATGGTCTGCACTGACCATTGCTAGGAGTAATTGATGAAGCAATGCCTCAGGAAAAGCCTACAGAATGCATTTTAGAAAACGAAATTATAGACATGCAAAAGGAAAAAAGTATGCAATCATAAAAATCACACCATAATGGAAACTGTAACTGAGCTCTTGCCTTGTCTTTATACGACAAATGTGGTATACACGAGACAATCTGCCCGGTTCGGAACACAGCTGCAATCAAGGTTTTGGACATAACTTTGACAGTTGATATATTCTCCAGCATAGTAGCCATCAGGTCAAGGATACGACCTGCATCTCCAATCTGCCTTACATAGACCTCTTAGTTTCGGAATTTATATAGTTAAACATACATAAGAAATTATGATTTATCTTTGAATAGCATCCTCAAAATGCTACACATTTTTTAGGCAATTGAAGTTGAATTACAGTAAAACTGACTGAATGAGGGTTCTCAAGGTAAAAAATAGCTGGTTGAGAATAATCAAGGGGGAAGAAAGTTACCTTTTGTGATAATTGCACAAGGCACTCTTCAACTGCTGCTCTGAAATTTCGATTCCACTGAATTACTTCAGCGCCCAGCTTCGAATCATCAAGACAACAGTGTATGCTTTTTCGCAGGTGTCTCATCATATCACTAAATGCATTAGCTATAGGCCCTGATGGCTCAATCCTTGTTCGCCGAACAAGGGAGCTGGCAACATTAACAATTTCTAGCTGCATTTGGGGGTTCTTAAGAATATTCTTGTGATCAAGGTGCTTGATTAAGATGGACACCAAAAAATGTGGATTTTGCTCTGCAATCGGAATGAACAACAGTAAGATAAATCAGCAAACTGAAGAGAAAAGAGGAAAAGCAACTTATGCAAAAGCGACTGCTAAATTGAATACCATATTTCTCTATTAGTAACTGCATCTCCAGCAAGACAGGAAGTGCGAGACCATGTTGAAGGGACCAATGGTCACCATTATCAAAATACCGAAACAAAGATTCAAAGACAGGTCGCACAGTTGTCGCTCCCTTGGCTAACTTTGCCATATTCTTCAGGCAAGCTCTTGACAAAAATCTGGGGTCCTTGCTGTCCTCCCTGTCGCGTTCAAACAGAGGAGAAACAGATAAAAAAAAATAAGGAAAAAAACATGAATATAGCTGTAATTGTATTTACTGAATATTGTGAGGAGATATATTACATGATGACTTCGCCTTTCTCACTCATGTCCCTCCTCTGAGAAGAACTCATAGTTGTGGCATTTGGTGAAGGAGAATCTGTTTTATCAAAACTTCCATAGTTTTCCAAGACAACTGAAACAACCTGATTTTAGAGAAATGAGAAGTTATTTAGATGCTGTACAACTGAGAAGTGTTTTAGCAAGATCAGATGATGTTTACAGGAAAAAGTAACAATAGAAAACCCTGGTGAATGCAAGTAGCAAGACTTGGATCCACCCCAATTACAAACATAGCATAAAAAAAAAAAACATCATCAACACATACCAGAACACTTGAGAAAAGAGAAAGAGATGATTCCCAAGTAAACTTACATCGTCAAAATCGGCCGGAATGCGAGAGAATTCACCCATATATCCAATCTGTACAATAAATAATTTGTTAAAACTCCAGCGGATGAGTTTTCTACACAGAGCAGTGATGATAAAGTATACACTGATAACATCTCATCAACCATACTATTAAGGAATATTTTAAATGCCAGTACATATGAAACAACCTTCTATTCTTCAGAATATTAAGTCCTAGCAATCTCATGATCATAGTGCAAAACTTGAAAACTAACATTTCCTGTACCATATTTAATTTCCAAACTCTCACACCAGAGGATCATACACAGACTGTGATATAAACTATTTCTTAATCTTGTCGACGCGTCATTCTGACATTCATTTTGATCTATTTCCATCACCACTTATGCTTTATAGATGACTCTGTAGTTCCAATTATAGTGAAAAGCAGAATTTTAAGAAATTATGCATTGAAAATGGCATGTCAAGTTATAATATAAATTATCAAAGATTACACAAGAAAACAACTGTAATTGCATGAGGGTGGATCACCATTGTTGAAAGGACTTGAAGCCCGGCAGAGCATAAATGTTGTCCCTTTCCATCCTCCCCAATTTCTAGAGCTAAAAGACATAGTTTTGGAATTATACCATCTAAGTTGAGGATATAAGTATCATCAGTCTGCACAATTGAAAGAAAGTTAGAAAAATCTCAAGATCATAAACCTTTAAGCTCAAAAGTAATCAAGTGACAATCTGAAAAAGCAAGAAACTACCAAAATCCCACCTGATTAGACACAAATTCAGCAAGAGTTACGCATCCTAGCACACGTATTTCATCATGCCGTGTTTGATCTAGTAGAATGTTTATGATGCTCAGCAAGCTACCCGAAAACATTGACCTGCCAGACACTGTCTCTCATCACTACTTACCTTACTATTATTATTAAATCAATATGAACAAATCATTATGCACCAAATGAAACTAATTCTAATAAATCATTCAGTTAACACTTGTTTTTTTTCAGAAGGAAGCTCCTATTATCCTAAAAGGATGGCTATGGTTAAATGTGTTATTGGAGGTAGTTGCTGGCTCTAACTCTTCATCCGCTGGTTAAGCGCTTAGCCCAATTGAACCTGAGCTCTGATACCATGTTAAAGTGGGTTTGGGTAGAACTCACTCCCAAAAGCTAGTTCAAGGGAGGAGGGAGTCCAATCACTTATATACACCATAATACCTCACTATTGGGGCGATGTGGGACAAATTCAACTTCTAACACTCTCTTTCACGCTCGGCGTACAAGGCCGGGGTCCGAACCCATCATCACCCCAACCAAAGAGGGGAGAGAAACAAACATGGCTTTAATACCATGTTAGAATTTGAGGTGGGTCTGACTCCTCACCTAATAAGACCTTGTTGAATGGGAGGATTACCCCTTCTTATAACCCAATAGGCTTGAGCGTGCCTAGTTGATGTGGGACTCCAACACACATGATGCTTCGCAAGCTTATTTAAGAGACAGTAAAATAGAAGATAAATGAGAAATGAACTCACATTTTTTCTTGACAATGAATCAACAAATTCCTGTAGATCAACATGACAATTTTAACAGATTGAAACTGCTCACTTCGCAAATCCTTGTAGCATCTTTGCTCAAGATAACTTGTGATCTGGCAACAATATTTTGCCCTTCAATCAGTATCTCAAAAACATATTAGGATGAAAGTAAACTGAAATTTCAAGTAAGTCTTATCAAACTAAACAAATGCAATTCACCATTTTCCTTCTTACCTACAATTAACATTATGCCAAAAGCTTAAAATAAACTTTATTTATACTATTAAGCATATACCTTTGGTAGGCGAAGAGGATTTCTGACGGCGTATTCGCATAACTTACTGATCTTTCGTTTGTCAGGTTCTCCATTCTGCTAAAATTACAGAGATTTTTTCAATGTATAGTAAAGCAAATTAGAGGAACTAGAAGATGTGATCTATGAAATTTATAAGCAAAACTTCTTCTCCAAGGCCAATTTTTTGGTACAACAAAGCTCAAAATTCACGAACATCTATTATTAAGCTAGACAGGGAAAGGAATTGAAAATAAAAACTTAATTTGAATTCAGACTACTATTCATTGCTTACTGATAAGAAAATGGGAAAAATTCAACCAACTTCCATCAACTTTTCTCTCATTTTCTAACCAACCAAACAAGACATGAAGTAACAAAATGCAGCTTCAGCCTTCAAGGATATAATCAATTTTATGAAAGTACAGTTGTTATATACGATCCCGGTTTAGTGTAAAGTCTTGGAAAATGAAAACAGTTTTCTAATATTATATCAAACACGGGCCTAAAAACTGATATTTAAAACCCAGAAATATATATATATATAAAGAAGAAACTTGTATTGAATTAAAACGAACCAACCTGAGAGCAAGAAAAAATATCAGAAAGCAATTTCTTGTATCGTTTAATGGGATGTCTTGATCTTACACGAAATGAAGGACAACATAAACACAAACTCCCACATGCAGGCAACACTATTCTCGAAATCAATCCCATTTAATCTACTTTTTCTATGAGAAACAAAATTTCATACGTTTATTTCTCCAACGAAGGCGAGACCTTATGTGGGATTGAATGAGAGAAAGCGTTTTTGCTTTAGTTTTTTTTTGTTTACTGATGAAGTTTGTTTATATCTCGCCCGACTTTAGCTTGCAGTTAGCTTTAGCTTCAGTTTGTTGTAACGAACTTATGTGCCTTGGTTGGCCAAGAATGGAAAATTCTAGTTTGGTTTAGTGTTTTATTGTAAATCACTAGGTGCAATATCAGATTATACATATTTATCAAAGTTTTAGCAGTTGAGGACTCCTGGAAGATGATGACTCGATCCCTTTTCTTTATACATCTTTTTGAAGCTGAAACTGCTCAAAATATTACTTTCTTTTAGTTTGATCAAAGTATTAAACTTTCAGATAATGGACTAAAATATGGGAAATTATACAGATGAAACATGGAACCTTCTTTTGTTGTTAACAAATATATGCGAAGGAAGCTCAATACAACATGGATCCTGTGTTGTTTTGCAGAATGAATAAGGTCCCCCAGTATGTTGGTTTTGTATAAATCTTAGAAACCTTAATGTTAGGTTTACAGATGTAACTTTTAGTGTATTCCTTGTGTTGTGCTATGAGTTTTGATTCTCTCGTCCAAGAACTTAGACATCATGCATGGTCATGGTGGATTTATTCTTCTGTAATCAAGAATTATTATTGATTTATATGATTTTTTTTCATTGAATTTAATGTGTATGAATATGTTTAGGTAAAACTTTCCTGGAAAGAGCCAAGGAGTTTATGTTTGTCACTAATGAAGATTAATTATGCAACATTAATTCATTAACACCATAGTTAATCACTTTTATCTGTTCTTTTTTGTAGTTTCTGTTAATGTTGTGAAGTAAATTTTGTTTTCTTCAAAAGCCCCAATCTTCACCACTACATGGCCTAACCACCTTAACTTACTCCTCCAATTTCTCCTCACACAAAGCAATCAATTAGAACCATCAATTAACTCACAGTGGCAACCCAAAAGAAAAAATTAAAAAATTAAAAATTAAATTAAAGAATATAGGAAAAAAAAACTGCAAAGAAATAGTCTGACATTGATCATCTGCCAAAAAATTTCATTTTCTTTGAAAAAATAGGACGAACGTCTTTACGATCGTGCAAAGAACAAAAGAAAAGAGAAATATGGCAAATAATAACACAAAAGGAAGGATACCAACAAAAAAATGTAGGGATTTTGTAGGCATAGCATTTGCCAATAGCTCAGGAAAAGTTTTGGGTGTCTTGTTGGCATTTATTTTGAGCAATCTTGCACATCACCTTCTAAAGCCTGTATATCAACCCCGCATAACTTCTGATATCGTCGTAAGTTCCTCATCCTAAGTCTATATTTTCATTTCCAACGTTTTATATATACATATATATATATTAGAGGTGAAATGTTACAAGGACAATGTTATTGTACATGTTTTGGGTAGATTTATATTTGCATTTTAATTAATCATTTAATTGTGGGATGATGCAGATAGGGCTGGTTCTTGGTAGCATAAAAAAGGTTCGAGATTCATTTGAGCCAGAAGTGATAATGACAATTGATTTTATAGTAGAATTTGGTATGATTTGCTACATGTTTGTGTTGGGACTAGAAATGAATTTATATGTGATTCTAAAACCACCAACTCGAGATGCCATTGTGGCCTATGCTGGGATGATTTCAACATTCATTTTAACTTGCACCATAACCCCATTTCTTAATTATGCAAGAAATCCGAGTATTGCATTCACCCTTTGCCTGGCACTCACATTAGCAGGCAATGGCTCTCATATACTCTCTAGAGTCATAACAAATCTCAAGATAGGCAAGTCTGATATAGGAAAGCTTGGAATGGGTGCAGGAGTTCATGCCGATATGGTTTCAATGCTTTTGATTTGTTTGGGAAGTATTTTTTTCCCAAGACTTGCAACTATTCAAGATAGCATTAGAGCATATCTCACAAAGGCTGCTGCACTCATCATCCAGTCAGTTTTTGCTGCAAAAGTTTCACCAATTTTCATGAGCTGGATTAACAATGAAAACCCTGAAGGCAAAGCCATGAAAGGCACACATCTTGTGTTGTCACTGGCCTTCATGGTGTTTGTATGCAGCTGCTCTCCATGGTATGGTTACAGCTCCATTCTCAGTGCATTTATGGCTGGGATTTTTTTCCCCTCTGAAGGGAGAATCTCAAAGTGGGCAGTGGGAAAAATCAATTACTTGCTAAGCACTGTTTACTATCCTATTTTCTTCTTTTGGGTGGGTTACCATGCTGATCTCCATAAATTTGAAGCTGGCAGTTTAGGCACCTGGGCAAGATTCTTCATGCTTCTAATCATAACTATAGTTGGGAAAGTTGCTGGAACAGTCATTTGTGGAGTTATGTTAGGTTTTCATTGGCCTGAGTCTGTTGCACTGGGGCTTTTGTTGACTGCAAAGGGTCATTTTGCCATTTTCTTGGCTGTCATTTCCTATGCTGTAAGTTCAAAACCTCTATTTATACATTTTGTTATATACAAACTGATTCTAGCTAAATGTTTTGTATTTAAACCTTTTATGTTCTCCAACCAAATGCAGAATTTAGATCAAACCACAACTACAACAAGTGCTCTAATGGTGGTATGCATCTTTCTCTCCGTTGTCCACACCCCATTTGTGGTGGGGCATATTATCAAACGAGCAAGGAAACGTGCACCAACTCGGCGGATGGCATTGCAGTGGCTTGACCCATCACAACAGCTTAGAATTTTGCTTTGTCTACACGGCCCTCAGAATCTTGCTTCTACCATCAACTTCATTGAAATTTCTCGAGGGCCAGCTGACCCTGGAATCATGGTTTATGTTACTGACATGATTGAACTTACAGACCAGATCGCCGCCACGCTTGTGCAGCAAGAAGGACTTTCGGAATCAGTGGACACTGTGACTGTCACAGACAAGGCAGTGATGGAAATGAGAGAAGAAATCACCAATGGAGTCCAATCTTACGTAGATGAAAATGGTGAAGGTATCACACTCAAACGAATGCTTGCTCTCTCAACTTTCAGTGGCATGTCCCAAGATATCAGCATTTTAGCTGAAGACCTCATGGTTTCACTCATCATCTTGCCTTTTCATATAAGACAACGTGAGGATGGTACCTTAGATGGCGGCCATCCCGGCTTCCGATATGTCAACCGCAAGGTAAATCACAAAATTTTTGTTTTGTAATGAACTTGGCAACAGAGAAAATATCCCATTTGTGAATTTTTTTTTTTTTTTTCCCCAAACAGCTGTTGAAGAATGCAACATGTTCAATTGGGATCCTGGTGGATAGAGGGTTTGGACAGATGGGAAGAATTTCAACAGCACAAGCATCAATAAATGTGGCAGTGATATTTATAGGAGGGAGGGATGATAGAGAGGCATTGGCATATGCAGGAAGAGTGGCAAGGCATCGAGCAGTAAGACTGACAGTAATAAGATTCCTACTAGACATCCCAGAGAATTCACAAAGAAGAATTTACAAGGACAACACAGCTGAGCATGAAGAAGAGATGAAACTTGATGATGAAGCATTTGCAGAGTTTTATGAGAGACATGTAGCAGGAGGGCATGTAGCTTACATGGAAAAGCACCTGGCAAATTCAGCAGAAACATTTGCAACACTGGGGTCATTTGAAGGGCAATATGTACTGATAATTGTGGGGAGAGGAGGGAGAGTGGACTCAATTTTGACAGCAGGAATGAATGATTGGCAACAATGTCCGGAGTTGGGGCCAGTTGGGGATGTTCTTGCAGGGGCAGATTTTTCAGTCAGGACTTCAGTTTTGATCATCAAACAACATGACAGTAAAGGAGACCTAGATGGACTTGATGAAGACTTCTCTATCATGTAAATATAAATATATAACTTTACTTTAGGATCACAATTACCATAGGCAGATCGTAGAAATCTATTCGTTAATTAGAAAAAGGACACAAATTAACCATGCAAGCTCAAATTAAAAAGGAAACAAAAAAAAAAAAAAAGTTAACAGTGTGCTGCAAGAAAGCAAATAATACTATAGAGCCTTTTTCCTTGGACATAAATATTAACAAGTTTTAACTTCTGATCCAGTCTCTTAATTACATTGAATGGTTCTACTGTTGGTAAAAGCTATGCCAACAAAAATTCTTCCCAAACATGAAAGGTAATATTATTGAATTCTGTAATTCATGTTTCGCACAATGTGTTCAGGTTGCAAAGATCATTATTATGCATTTTTTTTTCGACATGGCAATTGTTCACCCCTTGGTACAACTCGAACTCAAGACTGGGGGAGCACTTATAACCATGCACCCCTCTATCCATCCGGCCACAAGTCGGCGCACTGGGCTGTAGTTAATATGCATATTAGTTATTCTTAAACTCTACTCTTATGAAGATTCTCAGAATTCTATGTAAAACATGTAGCCAAGACTTGGGTCTAGTTGGGGATGTAAAATTTAATCCCAGAAAGATTAGCTCAAGACTTATGGAAAAATAAAAAAAGAAGCTTTTAGAAATGGTATGAGGTGGATCAAACATGTGGAAACTCATATTACTTGAATGTTCATAATACAAGAAACTAAAAGGTGGTTCCACATGCTGCAAAACGTCTCGATATTCAGGATAACTACCAGTGCTTTGACAAAAGCCACAAGTACACAACTAAGCATTCATCACTCAAAACATTAGTTCATTACAATAATCAGCATTTCTTAGCTTCTGTCCGGCACCAAACACCCATCTTCAACCAAATGCTGTTGAAATGTACATTAATAGTCTCTTGAATGCTTCGCGATCTCAGCCTACAAACAGACCACTTAAAAATGTAAGAAATCAAGTTAAAATCAGCACAACATAGAGATAAAAACTTGAAAGTTTAGCAGGGTTTATTTCTTCTACTTAAAATAATATTACGAATTTATGCCAAGCATCTGGAACACACTTCTACTGAACACTTCTCAGTTACATATCAGGCTTCTCTGATTTTGACTTACATTTCCTTAAGATGGCCAATATTAATCATATGACCAAACATCTCAAGCTGATATAAGTATGACATTTATGATAGAAAACCATTCATTGTCATTAACTCACTCAGACAAATCTGTGCAAGCATAAGCAACTGTCTGATGCAGTAGAATCATAGAATAATTTACACAACTTAGAATTTTTCCACACACAGGATAGCACCACTCTAATCTTAATGCTGCTAGAAAAATAATGTAATAAGAAAAAATGGCAATAATTGATACAGCCCTGGTTCATGTAGTTCATCCATATTAAAGGTGTAGAAGAAAAAAAAAAACCCACAGTTCAATACAAAACTTCAGCAGGCATTTCTACCCGATTTCTTTCTGCAGGGCATTTTATAAATGGAAGAGTATAAAAACCTAGAGAAAAGTTTATAATGTTAAAGGCTCCAAGTGGTACTCTGGAATTTGGAACCTACCCAACAGATTTCTTCGAAGTTCTAATCAGCAAACAAGATCTGTTCCAGTGTCCTTTCTCTTCTTACCACATCGAATCTCAACTTAAAATTATGTTCAAACTGACTTAGTTATGAGCATGAAAACCAAAAAATGTCTATTGACAACCATTCCCACAAGTTCCCAATCACACTCACGAAATATGATGCTTGAATAAAATGCTTCAAAAAGAAGCGAGAACCCATTCGGCATGCTAATGTCAACCAAACACCAAACTATTGCATTACAATCAAGGCACCATTTTCTACAAGAATGTATTAAGTACTTCTAACTAAATTGCATGATCAAATGGAAAAATTATGCTCGTCACATGAGTTATTTAAGAAAAAAAGTTTAAGCTTGTATTTCTGATGCAATATTATGCAAAGCACTTCAATTTTCTCAAGAACATGACAACATTTTAAAACATCAAACAAGGACAGCAATAAATATTTAATCACACCATACCTACACACACATGCTTAAGTTAAATGATTAAAAAAGGACCATAAAAGAGATGCCACACCTCAAATGAACTTTTCAGGATGTCAAGCTCTATCTAGATCATTGATAGCCTGGTTATATGCCTGCTTGGTGAAGACTGGCTTGTGGTGTGAATCTACATAATTACACAAATTAGTTAAGACACCGATATTAACAAATTAAAGCAAAAATCATAAGCATACATGAAAAAATTCCAAAAAGGGATTACAAGCCATTTGTCGTACAGTCAATAGAATTCTCATTTTCAATAAGAATATCTATGCGTTCCGTCAATAAATTTAATGTTTGTTCATTAGACCTCAAATAGGTAATTAAACTAACCAACTCCACACAAAAAAAAAAAAAAAAAAATGTAAATAGGTATTGTTTCCATTCAGCCAATAAAAACAAACAATAAACAATATCTGTTTTCGTCAAACTGAGATGTTGCAACCAATTAAGCATTGAACAATTGCACACAACTAGTAACGATGGCAATACAGGAGATTTAGCTTTAATTTTTTCATTTCCACTAAAATCCTTATGAGTCTTACAAAATAAATAGTGTTATCTTGAACAGCTTGCCCATTTCTCTACAACCACCAGGTGAAACATTATCATGCTTTGAGAACTCATGCAGGATGCACTCTCCAGCTAAAATTTCCTCAACCCCCATTCCTGAAGACAATGGTTTGAACTAATGACTATAAACTGAAAAATGATTATCCAATTGCACTCAGCATCTAATAGGCAATTGAACCATTAAAAACACAAATAAATTAAATCAAGCTATACTAACAAAAATACAGACAATTAAAAGAATAGCAAAAATACTACCCTAACATGATTTTATATGAAGAGGGTGAGGGAGCTTGTAACCACGAACAGCACATCTCGTCTCTATGTAATTGCCTAATCATCAATAAACAAAAGAGAATTAGGGTTCAATCAAGTTTCAAATAACAAAAATGATTAAATGAGATTCAAAAAGTACATGCGAAGAATGTTGCCGATAGGTGCTTCTCTCTCTATAGTGAACGACGCCGCGTTGATGATCTTCGTGTCTCTCTCGTAAGAAACCCTATGATCAAAAATTTCAGGAAAGAAAAAACAAAAACAACACAAAACTAGAACGATAGAAAACAGTGAGCTTAATAAGAGTGTTTTGGAGAGGCGAGATTACTTTTTGGTCCCTTCGGGAACGACGAAACGTTCGTAACGGTCAGGAGATTCATGGCTTCGTCTCTCTTTTCTTCACCCCTAGCAGAGGCCCCAGCTCCGAAGATTTTAATCGCAGACTGAGCAGTTTGGTTTTTATACTGGTGGGCAAATCTTTGATCGGTGCCGTTTTGGCTCTTTAAATTCAAGGAAACGCTGGGGTGATTACATTTTCATCCGATAAGTTTTTTTCATCCGATAAGTTTGGACCCAAATGTTTATAAAATAGACAAATACATCCATTCTTTATTCTATTACGGATAGAAGGGTAAAGTGGTCAAATTTATTAATACCTGAATAAATAGGGACAAGAAGAATACTTACATTAACAAACTGCTTGTCCAGTGTGTGTAATTGACCCAGAAAACTTGAAAACTAGTACAATTGAAGCAAGATGTAGTCTCAAGATGTTTTAAGAATCAATAAAGATAAAGGATAAACTTTTCTCACTAACATTCTCTCACAAACGGGACGTGGCGTTCGTAATTGGTCAATTCACAATTGGTCAGGAAGACCCATTGTTGGACATGCGGGACCATTACGAACTGTCATGTCGCGTTTATGAAAGAAAGTTAGTGAAAAGACTTTATAAGACATATCATCCTTTAAGAATATGATAACTTTGCATATTTCTCAACACTACATAACACATATACTAGTTTTTGAAACTATGTTATTCTTTTTATCAATGTCTATACATTGACTATATAGTTTTATTAATTAATTATAATATAGTGCATATTACCTTCATACCACTTGTGCTAAAGATAACTGAATCAAACAATAATTTTTGTAACATATCTCTATTAAATTATAACCTTTATAATATAAAATTAGTTTGATGCTATAGAGTTATTAGAGATGTTTGAGTGTAATTTTAAAAACTAGGGTGGTTTTGATAAAAATATGTTTTTTTTTAATAAAATATTTGGTAATACTTCTTTAAAACATATCAAATATCACACATGTGAATGAGAAATGTAAGTGAAACTTGTGTGATAGGTGGAATTGATGAAAGCTAGCCTTCCAAATTGAATGATGTAAGGGAATGGAATAACAATTTCCACCCAAGGTTTGGCGTAATTACATTTTTCTACCCAAAAACTTTGAGAAAAACAACTTTCCACCGTCATTAATATATGTTTGTGAGAACTGACAGAGTTAATCATTGTAAAGACGAAAATACCCTTTACTTCTTTCAAATCACTCTCTTCTCTCTAAACCATTCCTCTCTTATTTTCCTTTCAATCCTCCTAAATTAAAAAAAACACAAAAAGGAAAACAAAAAAATGAAAAACCCAATCCTCTCCTTCATTCTTTAGTCTCAAATAGCCATTAGAAATATAGCAAGTAAATACTTCTAGTTGGGGGTGTTCAAAAGAACCGGTTGGAACCGAAACCGCCAGTACCCTGGGTTTGGTTCCGGTTCCTACCAAACCAATCGTTAATGGGTAGGTTCCGGTTCCAAAAACCTACCGGTTCCAAATTTAGGAACTGGAAACCAGGAACGAGACTAATATAAAAAAAATAAATATTAGGGGGGTTAATAAAACTTTTGTAGAAAAAATAATGTGAATATATTTATTTATATTTCATAACATTTAAAGTAAGTTGATTTACTTTAAGAATCTACCTTTACAAAGTAATGGAGTTTGTAATTTTCAATTTATAATTGTATTTTATTTTTGTTAAAAGTGTCAGT